TTTTCTATCATGTTCTATCATGTTCTATCATTTTCTATCATTTTCTATATCTATCCATATCTATCCACACCTTTCAACTTTCACCAGGTCCCACTCCCCAGCTTCACCCCTCACCAGTCTGTGTCACCCAGCCTTCTGAACCACCTCCAAATTGGCGTTACATTTCTGCGACATCTCCAACAATCCCTCCTCCTTAGTAGCCTCCATTGCCTTCCCGGCCCTGGCACTGGCAGCACTGGCGGATGATCATGGATGGACCATTAAAGATGCTCAAGTCAACGAGCGCAGCGAGCGTTCACTTGAGATATTTTGAGTGATGATAAGATATGATAAGTGACTGAATTGACTATGTAACTATGTTAACTATGGATGTTTATGAATGTTGGTAGATATCTATGGTTTATGATTTATGATATAGACATAACAAACTAGATAACTAGAGATAACAAACTAGTTTTCATGGGGTCTATAAACCAACTTCAAACTGAGGGGCCCCATCCTGTAGGTCAACAGTCAACATGCCGGCAGCGCTCCAATGCTGCTGCCATGGTGGCACGCCAGTCCATGTCAACTTGCTTGAAGATGGTGGCCTGCGAAGTTCTCATTCTGCACGGAATGCACCAACTCTTGAAGATCAAATACCCAATTGCCTGACATCTTTCCAGCCTCTGTCGGCATCTGCTTCACGATATCTTCAGACGAGAAGATCGGTTCCAAGTAGAGCCAAACTCCTTGAACCTGTCTGAGAACTGGAATCTTGATGCCCCCAAGCCATTGCCGCAAATCGCCCCTGAGACCATCCCTGCCTTCATCCAAATGTCCATGATCTCCTGCGGTAGCATCCAGTTTTTACACATCCCCAGGGCTTATCCCCAGGGCTTCACAGTTCCAATGTGTTCCAACAAACAAAAAACCACTCCTGTGTCTGCAGAAGCCAAGATTCCAACCTTGGGAGCGGGTTCGGTTCAAAACTCGGGGGCATCATAGAGCTTAAAATGGTAGATGTTTAGAATCTTATGATCACAATCGATCACATCTACCGCTTCAGGAAATTTAGGACTCTCAAATTCTGAGCACCCAAAATATCCCAAAATGATGATTTTCCACCACAGTATCTCAATGTATCCCAGGTTTTTGACTACACAAAAATGCAAAATCGATCAACATGGAAATTGGTTGAACTTGGTATGCAGGGACATCCCCAAACTAAGTGGTTCAATACTCCTTTTTTTCCAAAAAAATACCCTCCAGTAAATTAACATAGACCCTGCCAGATGGGGGTTGAAAGACTAGTTTCCACCATAAATTGGTCAGTTTCAGGGTCAAACTGTTAATTTACCAAAAAATAGATCCCACTTCTGTCGGAATCTTCAGAGTCACTGAGTACGCTGAGTATGGCTGAGTACTGCTGAGTGCAGAAACGAGGTGATCTTCTCCATAAATGCTTTGGCATAAGGGGAGCCTGGAACGCGTGAAACGCGTGGAACATCATCTCCGGATGACCGAAAAGGGATTCTTGGGACACACACAACGGGCACTGCTCAACAAAACGAAAATGAAACATGTCATGCTTGGAAAACAATGGATGATTGACCTTCTGGAAATGAGGATTGTTCGCTCAGGAAACAAAATACGATTTGAAATTGTCAAATGGCATAATATCATGTCTATCTCATCTACTACAGGGAGGTATCAAATATCAAGAGGAAGGGATTATTCACCATATTAGCCATTATAAAAAAATGATTAATCATACAGTTAACCATACAGTTGAACATACAGTTAACCATTAAGTAGACTTATTCACCATCACTTCATTCTTCATGCTTCCTTTCCGCTCATCTTTCTCAACAAAATCTCACCCTCCCCAACCTCCCCGGCGCCTTTCATGGTCTGCACCTTGATGATGTGATCATCCATGAGGCTTTGCATCTCATCCACTGTGGTGCCCGCCACAATGTAGGTCTCTGTGTCCTGGTGCGATGGAAAATCATCCATATTTATAGAGGTATTACAAGACAATGTATCGAATAATTTTGAATAAATTGGGATTTTCCCTCTGGTGATTTGAAAAACAGTTTGCTGTGGTATAGATGGCGCATAGAAATAGATGATAAACATTGATGATGTACCTATTGTTTATATTTTTTTGGATTTTTTTCCATAGCTATGTTTTCCATACCCAAAGGGTAAAACAAGGACTGGGCCCAGGGCATGGCCTTCCAAGGTTTCAACTCAAATGCCACAGGTTGCCACTGTTCGTAGATGGATTCCAAGGTCTTTTCCTGCGGCAACATGACCGATGTGTGAATTAACCAACCTTTGTTTAGGTTTAATGGATTTTAATATGGTTTAATGGCTTTTAATGTTAACCCAAATTAATAAGCCCACAATGAGTAATAATTATGTCTTTAAAATTTGGGTTTAATGTCAACCTCGGATCAATAAACTCCCAATTTAGTAATCTGGTGGGTTCCCAAATAGTAACCAATTCTTTTCTAAATGCTGCCCCACAATTGGCAAACCATTGGGCTTTACGAGCTTGATATTATCACGGCGACAAGATGAGGACTGAGGTGCCCAACCAAGCCATACTCTCGCGAAGCTGAGTCAGAGATCTCTTGCAGAGCGGTCCTAGGCTGATTTCTTTCACCCCTCAGACCTTCGTTAATTAAAGGCTATATTAGCTATATATTTGACCGAGGCCCTATTGACATGGGCATTGTATCCCTATTGTCGGTGAATCCCATGTTTTGTCCGCCCTAATCCCCATATCCAGTTCGACCTAGTTGAAATGGTCATTTGAATTCAGAATTTAGAGATATCTGGTTATATCTGGTGATATCTGTTTATATCACCCATTTAGACATGACAAACACTTGCCATTGAATATGTTAGAATATGCTCCTCCATTTTCCATATCATAATGTTTCCATAATTGCCTCTCAAACAATGACATGTTTTCCCAAACAAAATGCGGCGTTCCGAATCATTTTCAGAGCCGCAGCCAGGGCACAAGTGATTCCCGACATCCATGTCCACCACGCGACTGAGAGTAAAGGCAGCATCGCGTTCCATCTGAAAGTGCACGACCTCACTGTGGAAGACATTGATGAAAATCAAGGGAACATCTGCAGGGTTTACAATGATTTTCATAGCTTTATTGCATTTTATTGCTTGATATAATGTATGATTGTATGATATATGAAGCAGTTTAGATTTAAGGAAGCATCCTTCAAAATATGGAACAAGTTGTGTAGATTACAGTAATTTACAGTTTTTACCGGATGGATTTCCTATCCATGGAGTTCCCAAGATTTTACCATTTTATCATCGCGTAAATTCTACCATGAATTAACTATTGTATATATTATATATACATAACCCTGGTTTAAACTATGGAACAGGGAAACTGGCTTTACTATGGTGTCTACCCCTGATATAATATATATATATATATGATATATCATCATGATAGAATTTCCTCGTCTAAAGTTTCCCATACTTCAATTCAGGGACATGTGTGACATGTGGACAAAATCTGGTGGAAAGCTATTCTCCAACATCAAGGCAAGTCCGATGTAACCAGCCCGAACCCTGGTATGACCTCTGGATAGGCTTGTTGCATCCAGTCTCAGTCTCTTCAGTATTAGACTTGATTATGGTGTTGCAAAAAAGGGGGTTGCACGAATTATTTTGGACCCACAAACACACTATGGCTATGGGTCAAAATTATCTAGTCCGCCAAATGGATGGTTTAATACTGAGAAAAATATACAGTATATACCGGTAGTGTGTCAAGTGGTACACACATTTTGAGCCATACCCAGATGATGATGGGGTTATACCTCATTTTGAGACACCTCTCTCATTAGAATCGGGTTCTCCAATAACTGGATGGTCTGATAACTGATCCTTGGTTCTTGACCAATAGCTGGATGGTTTATATCAAAATGGTGGTACCCCCAGTCATCATCCAGCTATTAGATTGGGATTTTCCAATCAAAATAAACCGAATCGATTTCGATCGAGCTATTGGGGTACCCCCATGACTATATGGCAATCCCCAAACCCTTTCTGATGAGAAAACCCCAGTTGTTTCAGTGGATTTACCCTACTTATCTCACGGAAAAAACCTGAAAGTTGATGCCTCCGAGATCTCCTCCCAGTGCCGCGGACGAAGGCCAGGATTGCCTGACTTCGTCGGTTGGTGGTTTGAACCATCTGGAAAAATATGAGTCAATGGGAAGGATGCAACCCATATATGAAATGGAAAATAAAACATGTTTGAAACCACCAACCAGTAGTGACTATAGTAGAAAAGTTAGTGAGGATAGTCCCAACGATCATTTAGTAACTATCCCAACGATCATTTAGTAGCTATTGTAGAAATGTCCCACTAACTTTTCACAAATATGAATCTCAACAATAGGAACTCATTGGACTGGTTTGTTTCCTATAAAGTATGGCTGTTTCCTCCAAATTTTGAGAAAAAAAAACATCCAACCATCCAACCAACCTTCTCCATTTTTTCAGCCGAGGGTCATAAGGCATGGATCAAGGGCAAGTGTTGTTTGAAGGCGTCCGCATCCTTCTTGATCTTCTTGGCCACAAAGACTGGAGCTTGCAGATTCTGCGACTCAAAGAAGCCCTAGCGATGCGAAAAGCGATGCGAAGCGCGATGCGATTTGCGCGAATCGCCTCGAAAATCGTCTTAACCAAACTCCGAGATTCCAGTGGTTAGGATGGTTGATAATGATGGTTGATAATGATGGTTGATGAGGATGGTTGTTGATGATGTTGATGATGTTGTTGATGATGATGGTTTATCATGATTTATGACCGCGTGTCCATGCTTTGGAATGGAAAGTTTAAGAAAAATCCTTGAACATCACATGGTTTATGACGGTTAGTCATGGTTAGTCATCATTGTTGCACATTTTTTTCATGGTCCCAAAGCGAACACTTGCCACCACCAGGTGGGCCCCGCCAGTTCTGTTTGATCCATACCATAAACATCCATGAAGCCTAGAATTCACCAAACCTCAAGTATAACTCAGTATCACTCAGAAAAACCTAAGTTCGCAATATCAGAAAATATCAGAAAATAAACCATAGAAATTCACCTGAACAGCTTTGGTGGTGGTTAGCCGCCTGCAACTTCATCGCCCTCTTGGCCAGGGAGTTGGCTAAGGCGTCCACTGCCTGGAGATGGAAACATGTGGAAACCATTAGATCCTGAGGTAAACCCACGGGAAAAACGTGGGAAAACCCTAGGAACATGATCTACTTATGGTTTCCACTCACCCGGAGATAAATTTAGGGCCAGCTAAGGGGATGAATTCCATGAAAACAATGATTTTTCATGATGATTTTTCATGATGATTTTTCATGATGATTTTTCATGATGATTTTTCATGATGATGTTTCATGATGATTTTTCATGATGATTTTTCATTGGGATTCTATATAGGAATCGATGGTTCTATCGGATTTATGAAAAAACCTTAGATGTGGTAAACGAATGGGGAAACACCCTAGGAAAATGATCGACTGAAATAAAATGGGTAAACTCCACGAGTCGAACTTTTGGTTTACCATCGAGGCTATATCCTACCAGAAATCCCAAAACTGGCCATGGTTTATCATTATTGTCTATATACATGCAATACATGTATATATATATATATATGCAATGCCTGAAATGTTTCATCTTCAACATGTAAGCTGTATGTAGTGATCCGGATTCACGGCCCAGCCTCTGGTTCCAGAGAGAAGAGCGGTCCTCGCATCCACTTCTTTTCCTGGACAAAAAAAAGCGGCCAAGTGGTTCAAATATCCTGAGATCTTGTTGGAACTTGGAAGGACACCCATGTTTTTTGATGTTTTTTTGGTAGGGAACAACTTAAACCAATCTCTGGGACCATGGTTGATCATGCAGATCAACTATTTCATATTCTCAACTGCTTTGTCTTCAAATAGGCTGCTAAATTTTCATGGTTGAAGACATATATAATCTGTCACGTTCCCATTTTCGAACTGTGAAACCTCCATTTTTGGACAATCACATTGCCGAAATATATCCCTCTGAAATATGCAATCATAATATCCAATCGTATTTTCCCATTGGCTCTTCCCAGTACCCTCTCGTAAACGTTTACATAGCGAACTGGAAAATCCACCCATTTTGAATAGGTAAATCAACGAACTAAATGGTATATGTTCAATAGCTATGTTAGTCATTACCAGAGGCTATATTATCCCACGATATCCCCAGAACCTTCTGGGTCCGTATCCCAAAGCCCACAAGTTGGTGACCATCTCTGCCTCGCTACTCCAGCGATACACCAGTTCCCACAAGTCGTCATAGGGCTGCAATCGGTCGATGGCCTTGCATAACTTTGGACCTTTGCATATTTTTGTTGGATTTCTTTGAAATGTGTTGCTATGGCATAGATGGCCCATCTAGTTCCCTGATGACTGATTCAACGTGGTATTTTAAATAGTGATTTCATCGAAACTATTATGCGAAATCACCAGAGGGCAGAACAATGACGATACATCAAGAAATCTACATATGAGTACCCATATGAACATCCGAACACCCAGAAAAAGACCCTTTTTCAAAAGTGAAACCAAAGGAAGGGCTGTTTTTCTGGGCTCGTTACGGCTCGTTTCATGGCCAGTTGTGGGCCAAATGCTGCAAAGGTGTCTTGGAGTTGGTGCAGCTTCGCAGCAAAATGTCTGAAACGATATTGAAATCACTTGAGTTGTTCATAGAACTATAGAAATACTAGGATTTATAATATATATTCATATAAAAAAAAGACAAGGATTATAATATATTCATATATATAATGTATTCAATATATATATATAATTATATATATATATACAGTATATATATAGAATCATAAGCACACACTGACAACATCGAGCCACCAAGCAATGGATCCCGCCGCGAGGCCTCCGTGAGTTTCTCGAAATCTGAAGGATCCCATCCCAGCAGCACCTCAGGACATCGTTGTTTCTGAATCCAGGATGGAAAAATATGGAGTCTGACATAGTCTGAATATGTTTCACACATATTGAATATTAATTTGAAGATCTATATAATAGTTAATCTAGAATCTTCATTATGGGCAATAATCTGAATATTACATATTGAATTGTTGTCTGGTTTTATGCCTATGAGCATTACCAAGTAATCCAACTAAGCCTAAGCACCTCCTTCTCGCGAACCTTCTCTGCTTTGTAGCGAGCATGTTCCAAGTGCTCCTGTCACTGTTGCTGCAGGCACCCTACAATGGAGGGGTTCCAACATGTTCCAACGACTTCATTATGTCCTTGAAATAATAGACATATCATCATCATCATCATCATCATCATCATCATCATCATCAGCATCAGCATCAGCATCAGCATCATCATCACCACCACCATCATCATCACCCTATATCACCCTCCATCCATCCATCATCCATCATCCATCATCCATCATTCCTCATTCCTCATTCCTCATTCATCACTCATTATCATGTTCCCATAATTTCTCCAATAGCTTTCCCTATGTTTATCTTAACATGCCTATCACATGCCTCATGACATCTCGATTTTTCTGCATCCACGAATTCCATCCTCCTAACCTTGCCGCGGTCCGTTGCCGTCCGCGTTGCAGTCCTTGAGCGCCAGGATGTGCTCCAAGTTGTCGTCCATCTTCTTGAGATCGCCTGCCTCCTTGAACCTTGGAGCACGACATCTCAGATGGCTTGAACCGCTCTGAGCCATCTGAGATATCATATCAATAATAATATATATATATAGTATTATAGAATTATAAAGATAAGTCCATTTGGAATATATTGGAATCATCATCATTCAAATATGTTGTTACATGTTTGGGGTTGGACAATAACACTCATCACACCAACAACCCATCCTGCATCCATAATCCTCAGTGAAAACATGTTGATCTTGAAATTCTCAGGAAGCCTCTGCTGATGGCCATGCTGGCGCCATTGCTCGGCCAAGATTTGACAGAAAAGGCCCCAACTTGTTGACCATGTTGAGATAGCCAGTGATCTCATCTTCAAAGGACTGTCTGTCCTTTCACCAAGGGCTGCTACAGAATGCCAAATTCTGCTGCCTCCACTGCTGCGTCTCCAGGTTATATATCCCACCTTCCTATCCTTAACTCCGCAAACACTACCATTATGGAAATGTCGCCATCTACACTCCAATATCTTCTTCTGTCCTCCTTGAACTTCTTTTCGATGGCATCGCGCTCGGCCCTGCCAACACAAATAGACTCAAGCACGTCCGGTAGCATTTGCCAATAACGACCATGGAAGTTGAACACCTTGTTTTCAATTGGAATATCACTTTCATAGGCGCTGCGGCTGACCATTGAAGCTTTGGCATTTTCGTGCTGCTCATGGATATTAGACAGGTTGGTAACTACAATTCCTCAATTTAGGCCCTGAATATCCCCTCTGGATAATAAATTGGCCTCTACTACATCCGCATGATATTTCCATATATTTTCCATTCACATAATATTTTCCATATATTTTCCATTCACATCCATAATTCACATCTTCCTCCAATGGCATTTTCCGTTTTCTCCGATCCTCAGCGACTGTTCGTTCTTCAGCATCTTTGCGTCAATGCTTTGGACCCACACAGCCGTGTCCACAATGGCCTGTGTCGGTGTTTGATGGTTTTAGAGGCTTGGACTATCGAAATATCTATCTCTTGATATATATATAATATAATATAATAATATATATATATATATAATAATATATATATATAATAATATAAATATATATAATAATAATATATAATAATATATATAATAATATATAAATATATATAATAAATAATAATAATAATAATAATAATATATAATAATATATATAATAATATATAATAATATATAAGAATATATAAGAATATAATATATATATATATAATTTATATATAATGTATATGTTATGATCTATCCACCAACTATCATATGGTATAGATACAAAACCTAGCCCCAGGTTTGGTTTTAGAGGCTTTGACCTATACACCCATACCATACCATCACCCACATACCGCCCCAACGAGGACCAGAAGCACCACCTCGCAGGTCCTTTTGTCTGGTGGCAGCTGCTTTGGCTGCAGTCTCTGTACTACACGCTGACTGAGTTTGCCTTCATCTTCCAGAAATTGAGAGGTGGTTCCAACCCCAAGATATTCCACTTGGGCATCGTCCAATCAGTAAGCCTTCCATTTGAAAAATTGAAACCGACCAGTTGATCATTGGCAACTCAACCGCGTTCAAATTGTTTTCTGGCACGCACACAGCGTGGGCCCGATTGGCCAATATGTTCACTTGCTCCCCCAGCTTTTCAGTATACTATGTGTGCATATTATTAGATCTATACAGGAAAGAATCATCTTCCAAGTGTTCCATGTTACATCAGTTTGGCCTCAAGACAGGTCATATAAGTCACATATTAGTCACATACTTCACCTGGGTCATGGGCCCATCCTGCCACTCAGGCTAGGCCGCTAGGCCAAAGGCATGGCGGATTCAGGTACGATCCAGAAGACCTTGCTGCTGGAGCAGGTCCAGGGTGCCACTGGGCTCTGAAAATGTGAGGAAAAGCCATTGGAAAACCCCCTAAATCTACTGGTTGATATTGGTTAATCCTGGTTAATCATAATTTCCCCCCTCTTAAAATGATTTAAAATGGCTGCTTGACTGGTGTTCGCCATTTTCAGACAAACCCGGAAGAGAAACCTTAATCAAGTCGACACATTTCAGCCGACTGAAGCCTCAAGATATTAATATATCTTGAGGCTTCAGTCGGCTGAAATGTGTCGACTTGATTTATGTCAACCTGGAACGGTTTTTTTCGACCTCGGGAGCATGACCACATCAAAAGGTTGGGCTTTTAGCTGAAACATGCTGAAACAAAACTTGTACTTGGACCCTCAAAGTATCCATAAACATGGGTAATCGTCCCAAGTCATATTGGGTAGATTACCCCATTTTGCTCGGTACTTGGAGGGCCAAACGGCAGTTTGAGCAGACTTCCAAGCATAACCATGTGTTTGCACCTCTGTCCAAAAATGAATAGGGTCAGAATCAAATCCCTCAAAAACTTGGGATACTCAAAAAATGCATTCCAAGGCTACAGGGAAAACGCTGCTAAACTTCGCATCTAACTTGGGGTTAGCATGAGTTGCCCCATTTTCAGGCTAGTCACTATATATGTCAGATTGCAAAGAAAAACATGTTCCCATGTTAAGTGTTAAGTACCCGGCTTCTCCCAATATATCCGCCGGGACTCCTGGACGTGGAACATGTCAGGGACGCTGGCAGCGGGATTTCGATACCACACGTAATCCACTCGATCAAAGCCATAGGACTTTGCCTCGCTAGTTCTGGATGATTTCAATGGCATGGTTGTAGGCAACATCTTGACCGGAAACATTCGGAAACCATGTCTTTTACCATTGTTTTTAGCATGCACAACAAAGGGGGGTCCTGCTGATTTTTCCAACATAGCCTGTGCCTTTTTTATCCTTTTTTCAGCCTGAGGATGCCCAACTGATATAACCCCCTACTTGGGTTTGTCCGAAGACAGAGTACACCCCAAATCCACCAAAATCCAATGGTCGATATTGGTCGATCATCATTTTCCCAGACTTTTCACATCTTTTCCCGATGAAAACGGCCATGATATGGTCATTAAATCGACATAAATCCACCATCTTTCAGACCACTGGACTGGAGTGTCTCCAACTCTGAGAAAAACCGCCCAAGTGGCCACAAGTTCCACTTCACGTCTGACATCCTCACGGGATGGGCAACAGTTGAAAAACAGCGAGGGGGTCAGTGAATGGATCCCTGCCTTCAATGGTAGGATTGGGGTCAGATTTAACCCCAAGTATGATCCAGCTGATATCCAGTTTTTTTTGATGTAACATTGGATTTTTCGTGATGATTTTGGATATTTTTGGATCAGGGAGAAGCCATGTTCCAACCCAAATCGGCGGATGTTCCATCTTATTCCACTACTTGGTGGCTCATCCCACGGATCGTAAGTAGCTTAGTTCACCCGAGTTATTTCAGTGGATTAACTCTACAAAAATCGCACTGAAAAAACCAGGGTAATATAACCTACTTACGATCCGTGAGTAGTTCACCACCAAGTATGTGACTAACCAATGAGATCCACATCTGCAGATCATCCGGGGGATGTCATGCGGGTACCCCCAGTCATCCATTTTGGTGGGATTTTCCAATTTGAACCATCCAGTTTGGGATACCCACATTTATGGAAGGAAACCTCCTTCCTGGCAACTCTATGACAACCTGGACATTCTCTGGACTCAGAAAGGGCAAACGGCTCACCTTGTCAATCTGATCATCGGAGAAATCCGCCACCTGCCAATGCCAGTGAGATGGCAATAGATGGCAATGCTCAAATTCGGAAATGGTTCTTGTTTCAAAATTAACACATTATATACAGTCAAATCATGAAACATGCACTTGGGAGTGCAACTTTGGTGGATTGTCCTAATTACTGTAATTAAAACACAAATGGACTGCTGGACTACAACTGATACAACAAATTAGAACCATCATGATATCATAGCATGTTTCCAAGAATGCCCAATCTAAGTGTCTTCCCGCACACTTCTATTTTCTGGCACCAATGCAATCACAACCCATCTTTAGCAGCCTTTATAGAAGTAGCTGGAAAATCAACCAGTTTCAGATTTGTTTTTCCCATCTAGAAACCTCCAGGGATAGTTCAGGGATTTCCTTCCCGTGGTTTTCCCATGGTTTTCCCATGGGATTTCCCTGCCATGGCCATGGTTTTCCCATGGATTCCTGGCCTCTTCCCATGGGAAGTGCAAGTACCAGAGCAGCCAATGCTGCGCCACAGCTTGGACTTCCGTGTCTGCTGACCTAAAAAAGGGGGACGATGGATCATGATCAAGCCATAAGCTACCTATATGTTTGTGATGCATCATAAGGATTTACTGTATGTATATATATGTATATATATAAGGCCATAATTTTTTGGGCTTGGATTTCTATATAGGGAATTATAGGGATCTGTAATATCGGGTTGATGTACATCAATCTCAGCTCTGTATAGGTGTGAACTAGGCAGCTCATGTCCCACCTTGTTGGGAGCTGATAGGGATAGCGATTTGCAGCAAAGACAGGCGCTGGACGCGGCTTCCCAGCCCTGAAGTCATTGAAGTTCGCCTGACGCAATCCCCGAACTTATGATCACTCGACAATACCAACGCTGGTTCCCTGGAAAATGCATCAATGAAGCTTGAAAACATCCAAAAAAAGCCAGGAATCAAACCATTAAAAAAAAACTCAAAAAGTTGAGGCCCAAAATTCATCCAATGTCCCAAAGTCCACTAAAATATGGCTCTCAATTCTTACTTCCAATTCTTCACCAAAGATCATCAAAACACATTTTGGCTCCAAGAGTGGCACCTCGATCCACTTGGCTTTTACGATGTGGCCGTCTAAGTCCTGGAAATCTGGCATCACCACTTCCTCAGATCGCTGGGGATTTATGGATGTTCATCCCACTGGAAAAGAAAACATCTCCCAAAACATGATTTGTAATTGTTGTATACTTGGGACTACATTCTAAACCAACCCAACCATTTTTTTTGTGCATTTTCCATAGGTGTTCTTCTTTGGACATGTCGAGCAACGGGTCCCACGGGTGTCATTGGAATGCCAAAGAGGATGTCACAGAGGTAGTCGTACATCCTCACTCGCGGCGCGCCGGTCGTCTCATCCTGCCGGTAGGACAGCCTAAGGCGGTGCCACGCGCACGGTGCAGATCTACCCGAAAGTTGTCCATAAAACTATCCATAAAACTATGGCAAAAGTGCAATGTTTAATCATTATTTAGTTCATTGAAAAATATTAGAAACATATAATAATCATCCACAAATGATTATATATATCTATATATCATGTTTATCATGTTTAATCATTATATATTTAGTGCCATGAATCATCCATAATCATCCACAAATGATCCACAAATGGGAATTGTTTGACGCAAACTGTGAAAATGACTGGGATAAAAGGATCTGTGATCCAAGAGATCAGTCCTTTCACAGAGGTCCTTTTCAAACCAGCTGTCTACAGGTTCCAGGTCGACCGATCTCACACTAAGGTTATCTCTCAAATTTGACTGGCCGAATGATGAGAATCTGATTATCTTGGATTCTATCCCAATATATCCCCATCATGCATAAATGTAGATGTAGTTGTTTGATGTTATCTAATCTTATCGAATCTTATCTACAGCACCTACACATTCGAGAATCCCACACTTACTTCATCTTACTCCTTCATGTAGACAAGTATAGCAGGATTGGGCAAAGGGTTCTTCGCTACACGGCTTGAACATGTTTGAAGATTTGATTGTTCAAGAACATGTTGAAACCAGAAATGTTTAAATGATGTCGGGCAGCAACACACTGCCGCATGTGTAAATATTAAAGACTGCTTCGGTATCTTTCAGTCTAGTAAGTCTAGTATACCAACACCCTGGATTTTCGTTTTCTTCAGTTTTTGTTTCATAATTTGCTACGGAATTTGGTACTCCGTATCCCATGATATCGGTATCATCACGATCCAAAAATGGCCAGTAACAGGATCTGCAGGCGGTCCACTTTTTTCTGCTCCATGGCCTCCCAAGAAGTCGAATGGAGCTGAGATAAGGAAAGACATGGAAAATCGATCCTTAACATAGTAAAAATGTGAGGAAATCCTGACAAAATGGACTTGCCAAATGAGTCCCTATGTTGATCATTGTTGATCTGTTGATATATGTTCATGAGTTCATGGTTATTATAGCATGTTGTACCATGATATGCGCCATTGTAGTTGTTTCACACAATCTTTGTTCAACTACACTGTTCTATCCCTGCTTCTGATGACAAACCCTTGAAAAACCCTCTGCTGGCATCCAAATGGTGGCAAATGACAAACGGCTCAACCATGCTCAACCAGCATCAATGGTTCTATGACGAGGCAAAATGCACTATTCTATAATTGTATACTATATCCAATAGGATCCAAATGTTAGCATATATACCATACATGGATCCTATTGGATATAGTATACAATTATAGTTTTGTTGGTCAATATCTCCTCATCCGAACATTGGAGGTTTCCGGAGTCATGGGGGTACCCCCAGTCATCCTCCAGTCGTCATGGATGACCATGACTTTCTATTGAAATCCCAAGGGGGGAATCCCTTGGGGAATCCTCCCATCTTAACAACCCCTGGTTGCTTGGCCTCCGGAACGGGTCGCGTGTCGAAGCCACCAATGGTCCAACCCACCGCATTCTGCAGAGCTTGGAGAAATCCACGGTCGGGGTTCACAGCACAGCCGCGGACCGTGTCCAAGGACGTCAAGACCTGCAAGGGATCAAGGGGCCGGCAACTGGTTGACTGCTTGACACTGTAAAATGGGAAGGGTGGCTGGATGGGAATGGGATGATTTTTGGATGTTCCATTGGGTTCCAAATACCCATCCTGGTCATGATTTGGGACTGTGTTTTAATTCTGATTACCTAAAACAAATGATGATATGATGATTCAACATTTGAGCAGCCAAAAAAACACTCAACATCATGAACACATTTCAAGTAAATTCAACTACCCCCAATTGGGGACACCCCAATGATAGCTGGCTAAGATTGGCCAAATCCCCCACTTTCGTAAAATCTCCGTAAAAAGTCCTATCCACTATTACTGAGTATTGCTGGGGGAGTCACCTTTATATATCCTTTACATACCAGATAGTTCATACCAACAATGACCAAAATGAGAAGTACCCTTAATTGGTGGCCCTTGCTAAGTACCCTGGGTACTTAGAGGGTCCTGGTACATATATTATATATATATGTGTGTCATATATTGCATGTGTATGTGCGTATACATATGTATATGCGTGCGTATTATTACATACTATCCAAACTATAATCCAATCATATGTATTTTACATGTATTCCCTTTTTTTTTGCTTCTTGAAATTCCTCGCTTTTTGTATCGTTCTTTTCTACGTCAATCGCCTCCACATATCGATGCAGCTCAGGCTTTGCTGCAGCCGCATGGGTCAAGGCTACGGCCTGAGATCAGCAAACCCAAGCCGCATGGTGTATCTGAAAATAGGCTTAGTATAGCTCATGATAGGGACAATATGGGATAATATGGGATAATATGGGATAATCGTGATCAGTCATCATTTTTGTTGAGGGTTTCCCTCAATTTTCAGACAAAGATAACAAGGCAGGTTCGAACATCATATCCAAACAAATGTGCCCTGGCCAGTGTGCGCTGACAGATGTGGCGGCAGACCTGTCACAATTTGGCGGTTTGGTGTCTCCATTAGTTTACAACTCAACTCGCGAAATCCTTGAATGCCAACATCATACCCATAAGTATATAATAATATGAATGTTGGTTAAGGTTCAGATATGTAAACATTATTAATTATATATCATATAAATAGTTGTGTAACAATCATTTATAATCATCAAACGCCGTGTTTTTTTTGTGGTCGCTTGTATTCATATTCTTGAAGCATGTGTGGAGATGTGTAGAGCGGCGTGTTTTCCGACGTGAACATTCCCAGCCCAGGGACCTCAGGGTCCTCCTTCTTCAGAGGCCCTTCAGGTCGTACCGGAGATGCGTCAGCCATGGCACTTCAGCATGGCTGAAGCGTCACAAGTCTCAAGACACATGACTGGTGCTTCGTTGTTGAGCCACCATCAAAATGGTAATCACCATGAATCACCTGTGTTCATCCTTTATCCCCAAAATTGGAGACCACCAACTGGACTAGTTGACTAGTTCTCAAGTGATGAAATGCATTGATTAAACACAGGGATATTCCGCCCCGCTGAACCAATGGTCATCAGCTACAGATCATGTTGAAATGCTGAACCAGAGGATCCACCGTGGATCGTGCATGACCATGCCATGACCAGCATCGATACCTCCTTGGGTCTTGAAATCTCTGGAAATTTGACCCAAACTACGATAAATTCAAGAAATAAGACCCAAAAATAGTAGAAATAACTAGTTATCACCGTATCTGGGTCCCTTACCACAATGTTGACCAAAACTCATACCTAATCTATATCAACCAACATATTCTCAGCTGAAACCTGACCCATCCTGACCCCAAACATGCGAGTTTCCTCACTAAATCTGGGCCTTGAAGTCCCTGGGAGTTAGAAGATGTTCACAGTCGTAGAGCCTCGCCCCGAATCTCCAAATCCCCACGGTTCAAGGTGAAAAAGTGCTGGCCCCTAAGCATGTGAAATCCGATTTAAAAAAATGATGGAAAAACTATGGAAAACTATAAGATTTATCGTTTTACAGGTTTGCTATACACATAAAGCATTCTAGAAATATATATATATTATAACCTCTTGAATCTGTACAATTTACACCAAAGGGTATATCATTACCTTACATATCCCATCATTATAACCATTGTGGTTATGGTCATTATTAACCCAATATTAACCATTGTTCACCCAACATTAACGCAGTATTAACCAGCCTTTTCGTATTCAAACCTCCAAAATCTTGAGTACCGGAGGGTACATCCCCACTAACCATTATTAACCATTACTATTACAGTGGGATGTACCCCCCCCCAAAAAAAAAAAAATATTAGCCATTGTGAACCATCCCTTAATTACCAGGTTACTATTATTAACCTTAATTAACTAGTCATGAACCATTAGTTCCCTTATTAACCTGTTATAATGAACCATTAGTTACTAGTCATTATGAACCATCCCTTAACTAACCATCCCTTACTAACCTTGACATTACTATTCCCCAAACCTCCACGCTTTGTTCGTCGAGAAACATCTGTTGCCAGGCACGAATGTCTTGGAACTCGTCTAGCATGTCCTGTGCCCAGGTATGTGAATGTAGCTGCTTAAAGATTTTAACTATAGCAATTCAATCCCCTATAAATGGCAATGGAAAATCCCCTGATACATGCTGTTTTCATGGGAAAATCATCTGCAAATGAAAGATTTAACATAGTAGAGTATGGATGTGATAATCCAAAAAAATGCAAACAATTATTCAATTTACAGCACCACCATGTTCGGATTGGATTGAACAAACCTCTTTTTGGAGGGTATGTTTTGCAGGTAGTTCCAAGTGTTACACGACTTGGCAAGTGGCTGCAGGATGCTGCAGGGACACGGCTCCACCAAGAGTTTCAGGATTCATGGCGACAAAAAAACAACATAACAAAAATAACAAGCATATATTATATGTAATATAATGGTAACATGTGTAATAATGTGTAATATATATATATTCCCTATTTTACATATTTCCATATATGGTTTGCTGGAAAATCCAGTGAGCTGGAAATTTCCCAGCGGCCTTCAATGTGCTGCCCCGGAACTGCTCGAGCTGTTGCTCGATGTCTACGAGTTCTGTAGCGTTCGTGGGCCTGACACCAGCCGCTGCAATCGCAGCTTAAAGTCGTGGGTATGGGGGTTTACCAACAAATATCAGTTTTTGATGGTTGATGTTCGATTGTTTTTGTGTAGAGGTTCGCTTCCTCCAGTTCCGTGACCCAGAGGGTTAAGGGGCAACGCCTGGTCTTTATTGAGACCAGTTCTTTGGGAGCGCAATGATCTTTAGCCATGCCCATTGCCATAGCCATTGCGTCAATTCTGCCCCATGTTTGTTCAGAAAAGAAACCACTAGTTCATGAAGAAATCGCATAAAATCTGTATAAATAGATCATAACAATTCACTAACCCAAAACGAGCCCTCCCCTGGAAATGGTTCCCCTTGCCATCATTCCAATGAGACCACGTGAGCTGAGCACAAGACTTCTTGGCCACAGCTGTGACCTCGGCTGTTAGTGCAGCAAATCTTCCAGGCGTAGCAACCAGCAATTAGAAGAAATTTCTGTGTATGTCTGAACATGTGTCTACCTCAAAGCAGTGTTTTTTTGATACAGTAGGGATGACGATGGTGACGATGATGACGATGACGATGATGATGACGATGATGATGATGATAATGATGAAATAATAGACATATCATCATCATCATCATCATCATCACCATCATCACCATCATCATCATCATCACCATCATCATCATCATCATCACGATCATGATTATTCTAATTATTATCATTACGTATCAGTACCATTATATTTAATGAGTGTTTTTGTTATTGTCATTCTTATTACTATGAACCAGTGGATTTAGGAGATCATCCCACCTACGGAGAGCGATTTACCATCGAAGCCAGGATTGATAAACTCTGGTTGATGGGTTCGAATGAATTTGGGGGGTTAACATGAGTTAACTATACAAGCTTTCCCCAATTTAAGTGATGTTAGTCACTTAAAACTAGCATGATGCACTAAAAATCACCAACAGATTGGGGGATTCACATGAATCCGACCCAGAGTTTTTTGGCATGCTTTTGGGTCTTCACCCTGCAACCATCCAACAGACATGGGAAGTGTTTTACACGTACCCAAAACCATCCAAACTGTCAAAAAAGTTGGGTCTTTTTTCCGCCCAGATAGCGAATCGCGAGCTGCGTGCGGCTCGCGTAGCTAGATCACTGGTCAGGTTTCGGCAGGCATCGATCCGATGGAAAACTTGGGGATTGGGGTCCAAAGGGATATGGTTTTTCACATCCCTGGCAGTACCATGTATCAGAAGTCAGGATCCTTCAGAACGAGGATGTAGACATGGCATGTCATGTCTGTGGTTTCTCGGATCCATTGTTGAAATATGTTGAAATGCTTGATCCTGACTCTTGATGAGCACAGTTTTAGCTAAACATTATGATTCTAATTACACAAAATCCAGCTCTCCAAAAGTTGCCCTTGTGGCATTTCCAGGCTGGAAAAAGCAAGCTGTCTCGGTATGTGACACCAGGCACAGCAAGTGGTACAGAATTGCGCGTTAAATTAAATGATCAAAATTAACACATGCAGCCACTGCAGCCGCACGACACGTCAATACCTCAGACTGGGCCCGGTCAGCAATGAGTAGAGTGTATATACTGTGCTGGGGGGTGCAATTGGGGTGGAATGGTATAACAATGGCAATAAACTACATAAGCTTGGGTATAACATGATATATGATATAACATGATATAACATGATATGACCCCTACAAGTGTGGCTGCATAACCAATTTATTGGTGGAACTGCACCGCACCCCCAAGTATCAAGTATTGCTTGTAACATTCCATTACAAGCCATTCAATAGTCAGTAATCTGCTCGAGGCCATGCAACTTCATCAGATTTTAAAACGGTGTTGTAGATGTTGAAGTGTCGTGATATGTTGTGATATTCACTCTCACGAAGCCTGTGCTTCACACGCTGCTTCTAGGGAGTGTTTCAGAATACCTCGAATTCGAGATCTAGAAAAACCTCTTCTCCCTCTAAAAAAAACGAAGCAGTAGAACCATTGAATACCATTGATCTCCATAATATGACATGTTCTTTCCCACGCGTTTTTCCCAACCACAACTGGTTCCAAACAGATCCATCAAGCTCCATCCACATCTAGGGCACGGGTATAGCCATCGCTGGTGCAGGTTTGAAGAACCCGTCTGCCCGCGACCATCAAATCCCACTGGACGTTGTCCTTGAAGGCGCCCGAAGGCTTGCGACCTGGGCCCAACGTTGGAGGCCTAGCCCGCCAAGCTTATGACCAACAAATGCACAAATACCATGAACATGTATAGGGGACATGTTAACCCACAAGATAGTTCACCATCTGGAGATCTTCAATAAAAAACATGAGAAAAACAAACATTGAGATCTGAGCAAATTCCTGAGCTCCCGACAATCCATCATGCGGGTAAGGCAGTAGCCCAGACCAGCGCTGGGGTCTTCCGAGCGGCACTTCTTGTCGCCGCCTTTCACCGAAAACCATCGGAAATCCATGGTTTTTACCATGAAACTACCATTGAAATATAGGGCTTGAAAGGGTGTAACATTTTTTCCCATCTAATTCTGTGAAAACCTCAACTGATTCATAAGGTTGTCTTCAACTGACAGTTCTTAGTCGGCCAAGTCGGGCCGGGCCAAAGTTCCCATTTAGTTCCCATTAGTTCCCATCGCCTTCTACTGCTTGGTGGGTCACAGGGGGAGTTCCATACTAGATTACAACATTGTATGTATGATCATCCCCATCAAAACCTTTTGCGGAAACATTCACAAATGTGTAAGAATCACCAATTCAACTATTAGCATTTGGATTACAACAAAATGGAACCTGAATAGAACCGTCGTGACTATCAACACATTGGTTAATGGTACTAAGCTGAAAAACACACAAAGCTAGTATAAACCGAGCACTAAACTAAACTACTCTTTTTCAAGGTTTTGGCCTCTCAGTGCACCCCAATCAACCCCCTTGGATGTGTTCATTTTGGGTCGCAGCTATGAATATGCAGTCTATTGAATCCACATTATATCCTCAATAAAGTATCAGCTCCCCATGAGTCCCCCATGCGTTTATTAATTGTTAGTAAAAATGCATCAATTTGTTGGTAGTATTCAGCACAAATTTAGTGTTGTAAATCGCCAGGAATTTTCAGGATGGATAATGATGGAATGTTCGATTAAAACACCCCTTATTGGAAGGGATTCATGACGAGACGAAAACATATTCATGATGGTTAATCCCTTCCCCCTTTTACTAAACGTACCCCAAATACTAAAACTACGGTCCGCGTTAAATGTTGGGCAATTTCAGACTGGCCACTTTTTACTTCTAATTGACCCCCTTTCGAAAACAATCTAAAAATGAAGGTCCTATTTCAGGGTTTCACACCCTAATAACAAAAACCAGTCAACCCCGGGGAATTGTTTTATTAGGGTCCGTCTTTTAAGCTCGAAAAAAAATAAGTATTTCATATTAAGTCTTTAAGGTTCTTAATTTAATATTAGGGAAAAGCTTCGAAATCCAATTTTTGGCCATATTTTAAGTAAATTCTGAAAGGAAATCTAATCGATTTTGAAATAGAAAATGTTCCTGAACATTCCTTTGATCAATTATTTTTGGTACTGAAGTTTTGGACTATGACCTAAAATGACCCAGTTTTCAGAATCTCGTCTAATTCTACTAGTTTGCCTGGTTTTGCTTCCTAGTGGCCACACTACAGTAGATGGACAAATTATCCAAACCCCTATCCATGAGTTATAGGCCACCCCCTACCTCCCCTGAATTTCAATGTTATGGTTTCGTAGCGCTGTTCCTGCTCTGGGGGTTTGATTTATTTCGTCCATTCCAAGGAACGAACCAAACAAGAAAATTACTTTACTTCGTGTGATCCCCACCATGACATTTATACATTTTCTTACTGGCAAATCTTCTGGCATTCTATCTGACATATCTTCTGACATTTGGCATTCTATCTGGCATATGTTCTGGCATATCTTCTGGCATTCTATCTGGCAAATCTTCTGGCATTCTATCTGGCATATCTTCTGGCATTCTATCTGACATATCTTCTGGCATTCTATCTGGCATTCTATCTGGCATATCTCCTGGCATATATTCTGGCATATCTTCTGGCATTCTATCTGGAATTCTATCTGCCATTCTATCTGGCATATCTTCTGGCATATCTTCTGGCATATCTATCTGGCATATATTCTGGCATATTTTCTGGCATCCTATCTGGCAAATCTTCTGGCATTCTATGTGGCATTCTATCTGGCATATCTTCTGGCATATTATCTGGCAAATCTTCTGGGATTCTATCTGGCATAATTTGTGGCATTCTATCTGACATTTTATCTGGCATTCTATTTGGCATACCTTCTGGCATTCTATCTGGCATATCTTCCGGCATTCTATCTGGTATATCTTCTGGCATTCTATCTGGCATATCCTCTGGCATTCTATCTGGCATATCTCATGGCATTTTATCTGGCATATCTTCTGACATTCTATCTGGCATATCTTCTGACATTCTTTCTGGCATATCTTCTGACATTCTGTCTGGCATATCTTCTGACATTCTTTCTGACATTCTTTCTGGCATTCTATCTGGCATATCTTCTGACATTCTATTTGACATTTTTTCTGACATTCTTCCCGTTGAGGTCCGGCAGTGCCCACTGCGATCTGGAAGTCGCGGTTGAGGTCCGGCAGTGCCCACTGCGATCTGGAAGTCGCGGTTGAGGTCCGGCAGTGCCCACTGGGATCTGGAGCTCGCGGTTGAGGTCCGGCAGTGCCCACTGGGATCTCCCAGAACCTCCAACCTTTGTTATTTAGTGAAACCGTTCTTAATTAGTGAAACCTCTCCTAATCAACCTATCTTATTTAAGAGAGATTGCCTTAATTAAGAGTTCTCCTTTCTTAATTAAGAAAATCATCTTTAATTAAGGTAATATTTAAGAAAGGTTCTGCTATTTAAGGAAGGTTTTCTTAATTAAGAAAGGTTCCTTAGTAACAATCTTCCTTAATTAAGCTAACCTTCCTTAAATAATTTAAGCGAGGTTACCTTAAATGTTAAATAAAGGAGGTTGGAGGTTCTGGGCTGGAGCTCGCGGTTGAGGTCCGGCAGTGCCCACTGCGATCTGGAAGTCGCGGTTGAGGTCCGGCAGTGCCCACTGCGATCTGGAAGTCGCGGTTGAGGTCCGGCAGTGCCCACTGCGATCTGGAATTCGCCGTTGAGGTCCGGCAGTGCCCACTCCGATCTGGAAGTCGCGGTTGGGATCTGGACTGCGAGGAGGACGCGGCGGACTGCGATCTGGAAGTCGCGGTTGGGATCTGGACTGCGAGGAGGAGGAGGCGGAGGAGATGGAGGAGGAGGATGCGGAGGAGGAGGAGAACAGCTCTGATAAAATCTAACAACCCTCACCTGGCAGGTGGGGAATAACATTGATATTTGGGGTGAGGGGGGTTGCTCTATGTATAAGGGTTTGAATAATTTGTCCATCTACGGTATCACCACAATTGATATTTTGAATATGACTGAACATGGCTTGCATCCTGGCTGCGTCCCAGGGACATACCAGGCCATTCTCATATCCCGAGCACCAACGCATATAAATGCACGTAACTGCGCCCAAAATTACCCGCAAAACGCCCGCAAAACGCTCGCAAAAACCCGCAAACGCCCGCAAATCCAAGAATCTGGTAAATTATAATTTTGAGAGCGCGCAATTAAACAGAAACCAACTTGGATGTGCGGCTCCATATTTTGAAAGCAAAATATACTGGTGAGAAGACTGGGAGGAGGGCCATGCCGATGGGAAACACAGCCATGACATACCACGCCTAACTTTTTGGGGAAACGCTCGATACAACCATATATTTTATGAAACGTCTGATTGTGCAAAACGACTGGTATTTCCGATAGGAGTTGGAAGGCCCAGGTTAGTTCCCCACCTGCCAGGTGAGGGTTGTTAGATTTTATGTCAGTTGCCTCCTCGTCCTCCTTCTCCTCCTCCTTCTCCTCCTCCTCCGCCTCTTCTCCTCCTCCTCCTCGTCCTCCTCGTCGTCCTCGTCGTCCTTGCTCAACTGCGACCCGCGATCCACAGTGTTCTCTGCCGGACCTCAACCACGACCACCCACGCCCAGTGTTCCCTGCCGGACCTCAACCACGACCATCCACACCCAGTGTTCCCTGCCGGACCTCAACCACGACCATCCACACCCAGTGTTCCCTGCCGGACCTCAACCACGACCATCCACGCCCAGTGTTCCCTGCCGGACCTCAACCGCGAATATCCACGCCAAGTGTTCCCTGCCGGACCTCATGTAGGAAGATATGGGACAAAGAATGTGCAGAAGAAAATTAGAAAGAATGTCAGAAAGAATGTCAGAAAATATGCCAGAAGATATGCCAGATAGAATGCCAAATAGAATGCCAGATAGAATGCCAGAAGATATGTCAGAATATATGCCAGAAGATATGCCAGATAGAATGCCAGATAATATGCCAGAAGATATGCCAGATAGAATGCCAGATAATATGCCAGAAGATATGCCAGAAGATATGCCAGATAGATATGTCAGAAGATATGCCAGAAGATATGCCAGAAGATATGCCAGAAGATATGTCAGAATATATGCCAGAAGATATGCCAGATAGAATGCCAGATAATATGCCAGATAGAATGCCAGAAGATTTGCCAGATAGAATGCCAGAAAATATGCCAGAAGATATGCCAGATAGATATGCCAGATAGATATGTCAGAAGATATGCCAGAAGATATGCCAGAAGATATGCCAGAAGATATGTCAGAAGATATGCCAGATAGAATGGCAGATAGAATTCCAGATAGAATGCCAGAAGATATGCCAGAATATATGCCAGGAGATATGCCAGATAGAATGCCAGATAGAATGCCAGAAGATTTGCCAGAAGATATGCCAGAAGATATGCCAGATCATATGCCAGAAGATATACCAGATAGAATGTCAAATAGAATGTCAGAAGATATGTCAGATAGAATGCCAGAAGATTTGCCAGTAAGAAAATGTATAAATGTCATGGTGGGGATCACACGAAGTAAAGTAATTTTTTATATTACGATTTTTAATCTAATTTTAGGGAAGCTTCGCACCCTAATACTAAATACCCCCTAATACCAAAAACTCCTGAGGTGTTTATTCTTTGGGAGGGGACCGTTTAGTAATAGGGAGAAGGGATTGGTAATCCCAAAGGCTGCAAAATCGAAATAAAGAAAAGATCAGTTGTATCATAATATAATATATTTACCGTTCCCCAACGACTCTGCGAACAACCAACAAAAATGGATAACATCCCACGTTTTCGATTCCATTCAGAAATGATTCTCATGTTGTTGAGTCTTTGCGGTATGAAAATTTCACACTTTCTTCCCATCCAGAACATCCAAGACGCTGTTAGGAAAACCCGCAGGCCGCGCTTTGGCTGTGGCCGTAAAGCTGTGCGGTTCATCGTTGCGCTGCAGCTGGGTCAAAGCCACTAGCTGTTCAGGGCAGCGCCTCATCCGATGGAAAAAAATGGCCAAGTCATGGCCATTTTGGGCTGACCCTGTCCGTGCAATAACGTGCAATTACGCATTGCAAAGTCATGTTTCTATATGTTTCTATGGTGAATTCAAATTCGGTCTGGGTCACGATTTGAATCAGCACAGAAATTTAGGTCATTGTAGGAACCAATTCCATGTTTGGTGCCCAAAATTGACCCATCCTTATATAGGGGTATCCCCCGGCGTGTCCAAAAATAGTTGACACATGATCTTCCTTACAAAAACACTTCAAAACCTATTTGGTAGGTCTAGGGGGCCCGCATTGTTGGACAAATGGTAACATAGGCATACGATTTCCTTGTGGTGCCATAATGATTCCCTTGTCCTCGTGGTCCTATGCAATTATTGAGAGATAGGTCCGCCCAAAAAAATGATGGATGCAAGATATGCAGAGACTTTAAATCATCTTGAATATAAGCTTAAATGCTGGGCTATCTGGGCTATAGCCTTGCATGAACAATTTTCGTGGAGATAAGCAACAGCTCCCAGAAAATTCCGGACAGGACCTTTGTAGTCGAACTCTTTTCAGCCCATCGGTGGAAAAAAACACAGTGAGTCCATTTTGCAGACAGGCCACACGCGCGAAACGTCCAGCAAGGTTGGATTGTATTTGCAGGCCCCAGCTGGTCGACCAGCACCAGAAACCCTCACCTTCCTCAGCTGATCCCACTGCGATCTACTGATTGTTCAAGTCGAAGCTGGTTGAAAGTTGAAAATCTCAGTCATTTCAAGCATCAAACATCATCAAAGCATACATTTCTTGTCCCCATTTCTGACACATACACTGGATGATACACCCACTTCTACATCTGATGCAACGCATCTGAGTAGCTTCTTCCAGCTGTATTCGCACAGCGACACCAGTGAATCACCTATTGCGGCACTGTTGAGTCACTGTGGTTCGGGTCAAGAATCTTTACCCTTGACATACGAATGGCAAAAAAACGAAACCACAATCATCTTGCAAATCACAAGAAAACAACAAACTGCGGTGGATTTCAGTGCTGGGGGGATTTCAGTCTTGTAGAAAGTAGAAGCCACTACCCTCTGGTAAATTAATATAGACCCTGAAAATCACCAATTTTTACTGGTTTCACTAATCTTCCAACCCCTATCTGCCAGGGTCTATGTTAATTTAACATCCATTTTTGGCACCTGATATATGATCAAATATTATCCAGAATCAATCAGATAGGGAGTAAATGCCTTCTAATCATCTAATCCCATTCACCTAATATTCAACATCCCCATTTTATGGTCCATGAAGGGCTTTTTAACTATATTAGCCATTATTGGGGGAATGGACTATTAACTATTAGCCATTTTTAGCCTTCCCATTGTATATTATATATAATCCATATTTAACAATTTAAGTAGAATCAATATCATTAACCTAACTATAATATACTATAATCCATATTTAGCCATCAAGTAACCGTAACCCATTATTAACCGTATTGTGGCTGGATATGGGTTACAGTTGATAGTTTTTTATAATGGATGAATATCTAATGGACGACTTCTCTTCCCATCGCCAATTCATATCCTTCCCAGTATTGTAAACCTTTTATAACCATCATCAGTTGAATAGTATCCATCATTACCATTTTCTGTTGGTCATCATCTCCCTCCATTTCTTGTCTATTTTCTCAAACTATCCATCGTTACCATTTTCCATTGGTCATCATCTCCCTCCAATGTTGTTTGTCTTTTCGATAGCAAAGCACCATTTTTCCCATCGGAAAACCTCCAGTTTCGCACCTGCTTGGCGCATCGCATGGCTCTGGCGCGGACTTTTCGGCAGCGCTCGGCAGGCCTCGTAGGAATCCACGCCGCCATAGGTGCAGCCCCAAGCAGACTGACCTGGACCCGGCTGTTGGGAGATGGTAAGCTGGGGCCCGCCAAGGATAAGTTGACTTATAACTGGCTCAACTATGGTTTATAGATGCTAACACTAGATAACTTGACTTATAAACTATGGTTATCTATGGTTTATATTGGTTTATGGGATATATAATGATATATACATATAAAATTCATAGAAACTATACCCTAGGGCTCCAAACACCCTCTGACACTGTATCTTGGGTTGGGTTTTGGGGTTTAAACACATTCTCAGAGGGTATTTGGAGCGCTAGGGATAGTCATTGGCTTAATTAAAATCAATTTCTCCCCTGCTGCTTCACCTATCAGACTTGGATCCAAAGAAATGACGGCTGCTAAGCTCCTGAACCTGCCTCCGTCTGGGGCTGCAGTTCCAGTGAACAAATAGTCACCATTAACCATATAGTTAATCACCATTAACATCCATTAAATGGTGATTATTAATGGTGATTATTAACACATCAAATATGCAGTTCCAGTTAATCACCATCAAATGGGTTATACTGAATATAATCACAGAAAAAAAACACCAGTAACATCCATTAACCATAGTCAATGGCTTATTAAAACCATTAAATATCTAAAAATCCATCGTTCGCCATAGCTCACCTTTCAGGCCCCCAGGTGCTTTCTCGCCTCCAGGGAACATGCTCCCCTCACGGCCAGCGCAGTTGTTGAAGGCACCGGTTCCGCCTGCGGCAATTTGCAGGTCGAACTGGTTGCCGTGCACGTCCCAGCCTGAGACGTGGAACACCACTTTCCATAGGTTTTCCATGGGTCCCATGATTCATCAGGACGGTTCCATGGTTTTTATCATGGGAAAATGGATCTTTTCATTTGGGTTTTTTGATACTTTGTACATGACCTTTCATACTGAATCGCAAATCATAAGAAATCCAACAAGAAACCAGGGTCCCTGGGTGACTACTATCCAGGATAAAACAACTGGAGATGGGTCAAAACCTATGAAATCCCCTGGTGACCATCAAAATAGCTGATATTCATTGAGACCCCTTGGTTGTTGCGATTCCCCTGAACATATTAATTTCTTGGGATCTTCATCGCTTTTCGAGGCTTGAACATGTTTAAACATGTTTGCCCCAACCCGGGCGTTGCTCCACACTTACAATCGCCATGATCATCATCATCATCATCAAAATCATCATCAGAATCACCACCTTTACCTTCATGAAGGGTCAAAATTCGCCACCCCTATATATGAGCAATATGTTGATTGGGGTAATAGCATCAACTATATCTCCCTGAGGGATCAAAATTCGCCACCCCCTATGAGCAATATGTTGATTGGCGTAATAACATCAACTTTATCTTCATGAGGGATCAACATTCTATGAACAATATGTTGGCTGGCGTAATAACATCAACTTTATCTTCATGAGGGATCAAAATTCGCCACCCCCTATGAACGATATGTTGACGGGGTAATAACATCAACTTTATCTTCATGAGGGATCAAAATTCGCCACCCCCTATGAACAATATGTTGACTGGGGTAATAACATCAACTATATCTTCATAAGGGATCAAAAATCGCCACAATATGTTGATTGGGGTAAAAACATCACCTTTATCTTCATAAGGGATCAAAATTCGCCACCACTTATGAACAATATGTTGATTGGGGCAATAACATCAACTTTATCTTCATAGCCACCTGATGTCAGACGCGGAGCAACGTCAAGGTTGCAGCGAACATGTTGAAAGCCAACAAGTATTAGCCTGGGTAAATTACAATAATTCACTAACCTGAAATAAGGCAATTCCCCTTACTAACCATCATTTTCCAGTGAGGTCGCAATGAGGTCGTTATATATATATAATTTATCGAGATTAGTGAATGTTCATCCCCAAATGGTTGTTTCCTAAAATAGGGCTACCCCCAGTTCTCATCATCCAAATTTTAGTAGGATTTTCCCTGAAATCAACCATCCAGCGAGCTATTGAGGTACCCCCACTATGGAAACCCCCATATATGGGACCTGTGTTGATGGACTGTGCGATGATGTCCTTGTCCATCCCGTCCACCTGCGGCCGAGAAACGCACGCAATGGCTTGATCTTATCCATGTTTTTTATAACGTGTTTTGTGCTATCTTATCCTATCTTGCGTTATCTTATCATATTATCATATTATCAAATTATCATATTATCATTATCTTATCCTATCCTATCTATCAATATAGATAAATAAAGAAAGGCTTGGGAGTCCAGGCATCTGCATATTTGTTGTGTATCGAGCCGTCCCAAGAAACACAGCCTAAAGAATCCTGCTTAAGTACGAGCTTCATCATCCTGCAAGTAATCGGGATGGACTCCCCCAAGAACAATTTGGTCTTTGTTTCACCTTCCTTGTTGCTTGAGAAACAGCAGCTTCCTCTTGGATTCCTGGCCATGGGTTCTTTTTGTTGGTGGAAGCTGCTTGTAGGGAGAACCCCCTTCTACCAATAATCAATTCTGATGATCGATTTTGTTGATACTGGTTGGTGAAAACGGGGATTTCCAGTTCATGGATTGTGCTAATCTGATATATCAAGGGTAGTTATGTATATAACCCCCTATCATAGTCATGAATCGATTACATCCTGATATTGTGGGATGGTATCTGACTGAAACATCATAACTAACTTCGGCCATTTGGGGATAGTTACCATTCCAGTGACGTGCCGACGTCATAATTCGTCCCGTCATGCTGCCGTTTAGATTCCCATTTTTCAATGGTTAAAACATCTTAGAAATGGGTGATGGCTAAAATTGGTTAAATCATCTTAGACATCACGATGTGAAAGTGTGAAACCATTCAATGTTCTATCACCATGTTTGATGGTTTGATGGTTTGATGGTTCATTTTAGATCCCCTGGGCCCCAGATCTCCATATTTCAACAGTGTGTCACTCAAGACGTTTGCTCAGTGGATCCCACCTTCAATCTGTAGCAAGCTCCGAGTCCACGTTGTTTGTCATCCGATGTCCCGTAGGTACCAACTCCAAAGTACACCTCGGTGGCGCAAAAGGGGGACGACTTCAACAAAGGTTCCTGCCAAATTCGGTAGGCACCCCAAAATGAAATTGCTGTAAATATGTCCTATACATATATACTGTATATATATATACATATATATATTTATATTTATATATATATATATATTTATATTTATATATATATATATATATATTAGGGTACAGAAAATAAAATAGGTAAAACTGACCCCAATTGTCCAACAAGTCTTGGCCCGAAAAAAAAAAAGATGAGCCGAAATCTGCTTTTGTTGGTGAAAATCTCCGGTTCTGTCGGTCACACCCCCAACCACTTGAAATGATTGATTGGTAAAAACACCCGTTATCCAGTGTTTGCGATCATATGGGTAGGGGTCAAGAAACTGTTTATATAGTTTATAACATGTAAATGGATGACCATAAACCATTCATCATAATAAGTTTGTTATATCCTATTCTATTTCCATTATATCGCACATCAAAACTATCGCATTATATATCCCATTAACGGTGAAATTCACATCCGTTTGCACAGTTTTCAAATAAGTCATATTGGCTCTCAAAACGGAGGATGCCCAAAGCAGTCCTTCAGTATGGCACCGAGGCTATTACATATATATATATATGTATGTATGTATGTATGTATGTATGTATGTATGTATGTATGTATGTATGTATGTATATAATTGTATATATATATGTATGTATATATGGGGTGTCCAAAAATGGAGGTATCTCTAAATAATTCATGCTGATAGGATTTTCCATGATATCCCCATTTATGGAAAGCCCCACAAAAAAATAGCTATTGGCCTCCGGAAATCAAACTTGTCGGAAGTTCCATTGAGTTCAAAAATGTCATAATAGCTAGCCATGTTTGATCACTTTAATACAGCATATATAGCATAATATATAACATAATGTAACTATGGTTTAGATAGGTCATCTATATTTAAATTATATACCTATGGTCTACTAAATCGGTGAATTTCCTACGCCACAATTACAAGAGAGGCTCAAGGACCACTACTAAACCAAGTTAAACTATCCATGCAAATTTCTATAATTTCTTTTGTCGACACCGCTGCTCAGCTGGGTTGTTGGCTAAACGACTAAGGATTTTCTATGTACAAGTGGGTTACACTATGGTGATTACCCGCAATTTGTCAATTTTATCCCGAAATATCATATTGGCTGGAAATATCCCAATATATGGAGGCTTCTTAAAATGGGGGTACCCCTTTTTATCATCCATTTTATTTTGGGATGTGCCATTATAAACCATCCATTTGGGGGATCCATCATTTATCGTAGAATTCTTTTGGTACCCCCTCCCCACCGTCTCCCCCAAAAAAACGATTTATTGGAAAAAACTGCATTATGCTGAATTAAATTGAATTGAGTTGATTTTATTTTTTTTGTGCATGTGCAAGAACGTATTGATTTCCTGTGGTTCCCAACACGTTTGAATGCAATTAAGTTGAATTCAGCTTAATGCACGTTTTCGAAGAAATCGTTTTTTTGCGGGGGCCGTGGCGATACCAAAAGAATTTTATGAAATAATGTATATCCCAATAGTGTCCGTAAAGGGGAGACCCCCTTGATTGTTGATTCTCAATTTCGCTATCGTACATCAATGTAAATCATATCCCCATTTATCCATGTGAATTCACCATGTTTCCTCCAGTTTTTCTGAGTAAATCTGCATTTCCCACCATGTTCCACCATGTTTTCCCATGTTTCACGGGTAAAACCCCATTTTCCCATCGCTCTCCATGCAGGGCCCGCCGTTTTTGGATGCGAAAAAAGTGACGTCCTGCCCCGCTTGGGCCCTGAAGCTCGCTTCGGCCGAACGCATGGCGTTGCTTCCAAAGGTCCAGTCCTGGGGATGGTTAAATGGGATGTCATGGGGATATATAGTACAACAGTAGTACCGCACAAGGCGGTGGTGGAAGTTTCCAAGGTAGGACATTATAGGAGAAGTGAGCTGCTGCGATGCATGGATGGCAGAGCGAATCCACTGATGGACCGAAAGTGGCTGGAGTTGTGTTGTCTGAAGTGGCTGCAATGGTTCCAGTGGTCACCTCACCCACAACTGCTGGATGTAGTGTGGTGTAGCGCAGTTGTAGTTGTAATTGTAGTGTAGTTGAGTTATAGTTGTAGTGTAGTGTAATTAGTGTCGTGTAGTTGGAATCGCAGTTGCAGTTGCAGCTGTGGTGTTGTGTAGTTAGTGTAGTGTAGTGTAGTTGTAGTGGTAGCTGTATTTGTAGTTGTAGTGTAGTGTAGTGCAGTGTAGAGTAATTAGTGCCGTGTAGTGTGTAGTGGAGTGTATTGTAGTGTAGTTGTAGTTGCAGTTGTAGCTGTAGTGTAATGTAATTAGTGTAGTATTGTGTAAGGTAGTGTAGTTGTAGTTGTAGTTGTAGTGTCGTGTAGTGTCCTAGTGTAGTGTAGTGTAATGTAGTGTAATGTAGTTGCAGTTGTAGCTGTATTGTAGTAGTTGTAGTTGAAGTTGTAGTTGTAGTGTAATTCGTGTAGTGTCGTGTAATTAGCGTCGTGTAATGTAGCGTGGTATGTTTGTATCTGCATTTGTATTTGTACTTGTAGTTGTAGTAGTAGTGTAGATGTAGTTGTAGTTGTCTATCGATCTATCTATCTATCTATCTGTCTGTCTGTCTGTCTATCTGTCTATCTGCAAGCCAACATCTCAACTTCCAAAATTGCTCCGAGCATGGTGTGTTTTGCTCATGTTGACTTCGAAATGTGCTTCGCGCCACAATGCCATGCACTTTTTTGACGTCTCAATTCCTAAAAAGTGCTGCGAAGCTGAAGTGCTTTGTACATTTTGACTTGGACATGTTCTTCGTGCCACAGCGGCGTGCACTTTTTCGACATCTCAATTTCCAAAAGTGCTCCGGTGTTGGTGTGTTCTGTACATTTTGACTTGGAGATGTGCTTCGCGCCACATGGGGGTGCAATTTTTCATCTCTCATCTGCCCGGAGGGCTCCGCACCCGCCGCTTTAGCGAGCCTACTTTTCGACCCTCCGGGGCCAGAAATGATAGAAAAAACAGTGTTTCACGACTTTTCTACCTTTTCGCCCACCTGCATCTTCTTTCTTCTGACTCTTTCTCTTCTCTGAACTTCTTTCTCCTTCGCTTCTCTTCCCTGACTCTTCCCACCTCTGCTTTTCCATCTGTCCATATTGTCGGAAGTTTGACTTCTAAACTTCCTTCGAATTTGATAGAGTATAACAAAATACATGATTTGAAATAAACTGATATAATATTATACACGTTGAATTTAAAAATATGGCATAAAATGAACTGATAAAAAAACAGAATTTGATATCATTTAATATGATATAGTGAAATAGTAATATATCAAAACTTAACTGTAACCCTAAATCATTATGATATATCGAATATGTTATGTAAAATCTATATATACACAGATAAATAAGAATTCTGATATACATACTCGTATGTAAAAAATATTCCAATATATATATAATATGTATAATATGTATATATATATATATATATGTATATGGGTACCAAAATAATGATATACGGTACATGTATTCATATATATATATAATGTGGGTACCTAGTATTGTAGTATAATGAACGATATGCATGTCAAAACATGTTCATACATACCATATTAATTAGGATGTTTCCTGGAACAGGAGCGCCGCAAACCAGTGGGATCTGCATCGTCGTAGATCATCAACCATGGAGGGGGCACCAGTTAAGTAGCAGATCTATCGTCACTATTTGGAGGTGACCCCAAGTTTTTAGCAACCAGGTGAATGAACATCTGGAGCTTACATGCGTGGTTCTTACAACTATGGGGATGTTAGCCAATACACATCCATGAATTGTTTCTCAACCCACAAGACACTGGATTTATTCACGCAAAACAGTTCAAATCCGAAAAATACAGCCCATGGTTTTTTATTCACAAAATTGATCACCACTTGCCGCGGGTTTCCAAATGTTCTATGCGAAACTTAACTGGTGAGCACCCTCCAGACTCTATGCACAGAACCCCTTTGGGTGGGTGGATTTCATGAAAGTATCTTGGCCTGCAGCATTGAGAATTGGGACATTGGAACAAGAAACCAGCTGATGGTAGAGGCCCCTGTCCACATCTTGGCAAACCAGTACCAGTAGCATGTTTGGGATATTTTGGGCAAAACATACCAACATATATCCTCCTGTAACCCAACATAGATGCGGAAAAACATCAATTTTCCATGGGCAAATCATCGACCTCAATGGGCCATTCTCCGCAATGTCAGTTCACCCCAGGGTAACCAGCCAACGAAGGGCTGCCAAGTGTCCATGCAGGCAAAGGTGGCAGATACATCGTTTCCTCCTTTGGGCTCAGCCGAGCAGTGGTAGCCAACACCACCTGGTAGCAGAGGATGAAGGCTTGGAGGATCATGACATGACGAGTGGTTCATAACCATAGTTCGAACATGTTCTATATAACCCATTTATATATGGTTATGAACCACTATAGTTATGGTTATGAACCACTATAACCACTATAGTAACCATATATGGGATAAGCTACTGAATGGGGTCTTACGAACCAGGGTTTTCCTTTCCACTGTCTGAGTGATCCTGCAAGTTCATCCTTAATTTTGCCCAGATTGGATTGGGATATTCAATGGTCAAGGGGAAAGACATTACTGGGATATTAATGAGATATGAATAGGATATAATATGATATAATATATTGTGCTAATCATTGTGATAGATCATGGAAACCAATGTAGAGTAAATCAAAATTTTCTAGGAGCAAAAGGTAGGCTTTCCTGCACAGGACTCGAGTCAGGCATTTTTCATAGTTCGGCTTCAAGTTTCTGACTGCAGCTTATGGCAACCAAACTCCGGCGGCAACGCTTGCGTTTCTGGATGTCTATGAGGCATAGACACTCAGCAGGCATTGCTTCAAAGTACATCACTACAGGTTAAACACGACATGCATGTCGTATTCGAATCTCCTTGAGCCCAGGCCCGGCTGTCAGCTGCCTTCAGTACCATTATTTATGCAGCTGAGTTATTTCATGTTATTTCAACATCTGTCACTGAATTCTAACCTTGAGCTATGTTTTGATGTCTGTCTTGCAGCATATTCACCAATGCCAGCTCATTGAAAAGGACTGCTGAACTGGAGACAGGGCACGTGCATGACAGGTTGGTCCTCGTGTCGAGGCTCTGAAACGTGGCCCGTGACATCCCAGTTGCTGAAAACAAGAATACCAGAAGTGAAGGAAGACCATTCTTCAACATATTTCAACATATTTCAATGCAAAGTCTATATTAACCTATGCCAGCCTATTGAAATCACTGCCCACGTGGAGACAGGGCACGTGCATGACAGATTGGTCCTCGTGTTGAGGCTCTGAAATGTGGTCCGTGACATCCCAGTTGCTGAAAACAAGAATACCAGAAGTGAAGGAAGACCATTCTTCAACATATTTCAACATATTTCAATGCAAAGTCTATATTAACCTATGCCAGCCTATTGAAAACCACTGCCCACGTGGAGACAGGGCACGTGCATGGCAGCTTTGTCCTTGTGTCGAGGCTCTGAAACGTGGCCCGAGACATCCCAGTTGCTGAAAACAAGACCCAGTGAAGGAAGACCATTCTTCAACATTTTTCAACATATTTCAATGTAAAGTCTATATTAATTTATGGCAGCCTATTGAAAGTCACTGCCCACGTGGAGACAGGGCACGTGCATGACAGATTGGTCCTCGTGTCGAGGCTCTGAAACGTGGCCCGTGACATCCCAGTTGCTGAAAACAAGAATACCAGAAGTGAAGGAAGACCATTCTTCAACATATTTCAACATATTTCAATGCAAAGTCTATATTAACCTATGCCAGCCTATTGAAAACCACTGCCCACGTGGAGACAGGGCACGTGCATGACAGATTGGTCCTCGTGCTGAGGCTCTGAAATGTGGTCCGTCACATCCCAGGTGCTGAAAACAAGAACACCAGCAGTGAAGGAAGACCCATTCTGATTTCTCATAATTTTTCAACATATTTCAACATATTTCAATACAAAGTCTCGATGTCTGCGTCTGCCTTCCACATCCTTGCCCCCCCTATATAATTAAATGCCCGTATCGAGGCGTGGCTCATGAAGCTGAACTTTGATAAACACCGCAAAAACATTGAAACAATAACGATAACATACAATAACTAACTTTAAGATTAAAAACTTGTTCTCTGTTCCACAATCACGATTATTGCCGACTTTTAGTAATTTTAATTGACCTTCCAACAAGGTCCAGCTTCCAAACCCCATGTACGAGGTTCATGCAGCCTGTACGATCTCAGCTGTTTGACGCAACTTGCCGAGTTCACGATCGACAAACTTTGGAAAAGGGCTTTCTGACATGATGGAGCACAGCAAACCAACAAGGTTGGCCAAAGTGAAGCGCTTCAAGATACCACGGATCCTACGATGCATCCCTTGAAGTTGAGGGGCTGGAAATGATACTTCTGAAGATCGGATGGCAACCTGACTTCGAAGCAGCTGGACGACACCTGATGCTCCGGGCAGATCACACTCCTTCGCGACTTGCTGATGAAACGAGACCCGCCACTGGAAATTGTAGATGATTGTACCAGACTTCAGGAACATTTGCTGTGGTCAGTGGTAAGGATTTGTTGTGCCTTCTATTGCTATAATATTATAATGCTCATTCATGCTCTATCTAGTCCAAGAGATGTCTGGAATCTATGGGAACATTGTATACAGAAGCATTCTGTTTCGTCTCAGAAAGTGCCCTGCAGTGCCCGTGTCAAACGTGCGACAGTGCCACCATTGAAGCTGTTGAACGCCGTGTCCTTGACCCGCTGCTGGAAATATGGTAAAAGTATCTCCATAAAATGGGCGCGTGGGAGAGACTTGAGGAAATTTCGCATGCGCTTGTCCAGTGAAGGGCTTGGCGCGGCCTGGGTTCTCAGATTGAGAACGCAGGCTTCTGACCCAATGTACCCTGCAGTGGCAATTGTATAAAAGAGAAACTACACTGCAAAGTGACCCATGCCAATGTATATATAATAGTATAATAACCAGGACCCTCAAAGAACAAGAATCCGGGGCATTAGCCTAGGATTTGTAGGAATCCGGGGGGATTGTTAACTTGCCCACAGGATTCCCGCACTCCTGCCAGGATTCCTGCACCGAGCAAGATTTCTGTGACCAAAGCCGAAGCCTTGTATTTTGTGATGTGTTTGCTTTTCGTTTACATTCTTAAAAATCCGCGTTTGTCACATCTGAAACGCAAAGGTTTGAAGCTAAGACACTTTGTTTCATCATGGTTCCTAGAGACAAGTCTCGGAAAACCAAGTGCCTTGGTTTTCAGCCTTGAAGAATTCATACTCGGGGACGTGATGCTGTGAAATATACTGCCACTTGCTTCCAGGATCATAACACAGCCGTGCACCATATCTTTTTCGTCTGCTAGCAAAGACACTATACTATACTCACTAGTCAATCGTGCATCCGATCGTGCTCATGAAACGCTCGCAACTCTTGCAAGAGTCGCACATCGGCGATTCCTGCCAGCAAAGGCTGCATGATCGCCAGGCCGCCAACTTCACATAGCAAGGCAAGCAGCCATTGATGATTTCGTAATGGAAGAATTACGACTGGCTTGGAGCAAATTTCTCTGGCTTAACAATCAAGAAAGGCACCAATGGTCACCAATGCTGTCTTTGACACTTAAGACTTTCTAACTTTCTTGATTTCAGAAGTTTTTATCGAACGGCAGCACCCCCTGTTGACGATGACCCATTGGAAACGTTACGCGGTCCTGGGAGCCAAGCTGGAAATAATATAACAAAAAAGTATACATGTTCATCATTGGCTTTTTGTTCCCGCTCTTGCTTTCTGAAAATTCCGTCAAACAGCCGAACCACCTACTGATGTTGGCCTGAAAATTACGCATTCCTTGCATGGTCCTTGGGACAAGTTTGGAATTGGCAGAGACAGAGACAAGACGCTAATGGTAGTGGTCGACATGCTTTGACATTCTTGATATCTGAAAATTTGATCGAACAGCAGAACCACCCATTGACAATGACCATTGGGTTAAAATTTGCGCATTCCTTGTGGCCAATTTGGAAATGGACAGAAGAAGAAGCCCTTAGCGCATTTTTACGTTTTTGATTTCCCCAAACCTTATCAGACTTATCAAACAGCAGAAACACTCATTGGCAAAGACTGGGTGGGAAAATAAAAAGCCAATTTTGGAGTTGACAAGAAATAGGCACCAAGTGATAGTCGTTTTCATTTTTAAACCTGTTTCGATGTCTCAATCATCTTGCCCAAAAAGTAACCCGATCCATGAAATTCCTGCATAAGATTTCCGGTCCGTCTCCGCGAATTTCCGGGTTTAGTCCGCGAATCTCCGTCGTCAGTCCCTGCCCGTATTTTCTCCGGGTACCCTTTAAAGACATTAAATATTTGTTCAATTTTGTTCAATTCCTAGCCGGCTCCTTCAAAAAAACGAATAGGTTCCCAGGATTCCTGGCTTTTCTCCGGGTTCACCGCGAAAACCCAAAACAAGTGATACTAGTTGCAAATACGGACATTGATATTTGTGAGAATAAAACAATTAATAGTTGCTGAAAACCCTTTTGAAAACCATTTTTTTGCAAGTTTCACCACAGCTAACTTTTCACTCAAATTCCGAAGTCACTGTGCGTCGAATGTAAACTTCAAGAAAAACTCCATGGAACACACATGTGTGCGCATCCAGAACAGTTTTGGAAAAAACAAATATATCACAGACTCGCGTCCAGACCCGCAAACGAAACAAACCAAAACCCCAGATTCAACAGAACAAAGCATCGAAACACATCAAAAACACATGCCCTATTTTTCTGAGTGCTGTTGATTTAAAAAAATGATTTGTTCATTAGTTCTGTGTTGTTTTTGTTTGGTTGTTTAATTTTCCAAAATGATATCAGGCAATTGTTTTCTTCCTTTCATGGTTCCGGCAACATCACTGGGAAACCTTTTCCACCTGGCACCGGCCGCCAGCTGACTGGAATCTTTCAAAAAGCAAACGACCAGCACAGCAGTTCCGGGCACAAGGCAGCATGAACTCCCCGAGATTGGCGCAAGCTCGGGATGCGAAATCAAAGAGCTCCGTGTAGGATCAAAAACGAACCATGGAAAAAATAGGCCCTTGCATTTACCAAAACATGCCTTAGCGAAATAAACTTACTTTCAGGTTTGCTCTTGAAATTTGTTTCTGAGTAGCCTTTGCAATTCCTGATTCTTTTGATAAAAACCGGCAATTCCGGAAAAAGCTTTCACACCATCCCACCGGTCGGCCGAAGCTCCAAACGAATTGCCAGCAGAAGGCGGACTGGAAGCCATTGCGGCAGCGTCTGCCAACGGCGTGAACCCCACAAAAACTGATAAGCAGCAGCATGTCCATTCAACATTTACCGATGTTGAAGATGTCCAATGGGATCCTTGCATGCAATTGCATTGTTCAAGCAAAGGGCTGTCAATAGCTGTCAAATCATGGCAAAAAATATGCTCCACACCGCCCTTCCAAGGAGTGCAGCTTGCCAAAATATCTGGAGATTGAGCCCCCAAACATGCGGCAGACCAAAAAAAGACGGGTAGAATGGTAGAACGTGCTAAACCAGGAGTCCTGAACCGACACCAGGATTCCCGTACCGGACAACAAAATGATGACCTTACACCAGGAAAGGTACCTTTTCAGGTACCTTTCCGGGGATGGGTCGAGGGTCCTGGAATATCATATATACCTGGAACATCCTGGAACCTGGAATATCCAAAAATAGAAGGCCGAAGGCCACATTGATCCACATTGGCACCAGAAGTGGACGTTCGATTTTCATTGGTTTTCACAGATTTGACTGATGTTGTACTAAAAGCACTAACAAGACATTATCCTGCAGGTGCAATAGTTGCTTTCTACTTCTCCCACCTATTAATCGATATTAATAGTTGCTACATGTTGCTACCATACCCTGAACTTCCAGTGCCTGGGAAACGAGTACTTTTGAACAGCTGGCGTTACTGTAAAGTGCCATCTTGGCTTTAACCCAATCAAAAACAGTCGTAAACTGGTAAACTACCACAAATTTTGTGGTCGACTCCAAACAAAAGTGTGCAACAACCGGAGCAACCAAAAACAAATGGGCGTTTGGAGATCCAGGATATATATGATTTTTATGTGTTTTCCAGCGCGCGGATGTAAATGCATTTGACCCAATTTTCGACTCAGGGCCAGCATGGGAGAAAAAGGAGCAGCAAGATCCAAACTAAACCATTCTAAACCGAGGAAATCCCACGGGACATGGAACACCTGGGACTTATTGCCATGTATTGCCTAGGCGGTTCATGTATTGCCTATGCCGTGACCCAGATTCTTCAGCTGAGTGTCGTGGTCTAGGTGGCAAAATGTACAATTCGCACCTTCTTTGCACGTGCCCATCGCGAAAAGGATGCACGGCCGGCGACAAATGTTCGGATGGCCATAGCTCCCCTTCGAAGGAGCCTTTTTCAGGCTGGATGAGGGATCCATAGGAATCCAAACTGCAAAACATTGCAGCAACTTAAGACCCACCAGTAAAACACATATCATAGGGAAAAGGATACAAAAGGTTGATACGGGTTAAATATGGTTAAATCATGTTAAATCGGCTTAATACTGAGTGTGGAAAACAAATGCTTGACATTTTTTGGTCCTTAGTACATAGAACTTGCCTCGCAGTCGACACCCTCAAGCGTTCCGGATTTCAATGACATCATCTGGGATTTCTGCTGCTGCAGTGCGGACACCTGCGAGGGGCAGAACATGGAAGATGTGAATAACACACCAACCAAAAATCTGTATGAAACTCCACCCAAGAAAACATTGAAGGACTTTGAGAACCTGCCAACAAAAATACTGACTGCTTGACACTGCAAAGCCCACCTGTAAGTTCAATTTCGTGTCTTGGTATTGGTACTGCAACGCGTGAACGTCCAGCATATCTTCAAAATTCACACGCTTCCTCAAATCGTGTCCACGCCGGAAACTTTGCCAAACCATTCCCTCCCCTCCCCACACTAGGCCAATAAGCAAGTCCCTTGAGGTGCTTGAGATTAGCAAGATTTTGACCAGCTTGGGGTTTGGATTACCCTCTGGTAAACTAACATAACTATGGAAAATCACCATGTTTCATTGGAAAATTCACGAACTAAATGGTGATTTTCCATAGTTATGTTAGTCATTACCAGAGGGTAAGTTTGGATGCATTTGAAAACTGCATCTCTGGGACAAAGCCTGGGATTCATCGGAGGGGTGCTGTGGCTTCTAGCGTTCCTGGCCCTTGCGGCTGATGACTCTTCTGCGACATCAATGAATGTCTTGGTGTAGCGAAGCGCTGCCATGGCGGGAAAATTATGTCCCCAAATCCAAGGACAGAAAAAATACTGCTTGAGAACAGCTGCGACCATCACACTGTAAAATCTGTAAGAAGTCAAAACCCAAAACGGTGATTTGTCTCTTACCCTCTGATAAACGTTTACATAACGGAAAATCACCATCTTTAAGTTCGGTAAATCAACGAACTTTCAACAAGGGCCATGGCTGGGCCACTTCGCGAAGCGTGACAATCATTACCAAAGGGTATCTCCTGGCCTCCGCCAGTCTTGCACATTACTCCAGGTCGTGCGCCCGGATTGAAGCAACGGGCACAGCTGGAGCAACCTGGGGAAAGACATGTTGCCAGTTGCTGAGATTTTTTCTGGACATCTGATATTTTGTTGATGAAATTAGATGTGACATTTATGATTTGAAATGATTTGAAATGGTGATCAAGATCCCTGGCAGGCCCCATTACCAATGTTTGACCCACGGAAGCCCTGATTAAAACTGAATAAAACTGATTAAACTGATTAAAACTTTGGGACACCGAAATGTGGAATGGAATCAATCTACACTGCCGCGGCTGCTGAAATACCTGCAATATTCTTGTATGCCCTTCCGAGAGACTCAATGAATTACATAATTTTACCACGTTGTGGATGTGCATCTACTCTGGTGCTTTGGAAACCAGGAATGCTTTGTGAATTGAATATCAGATAATATCAGATCATCCCAAACCAGGATCAATTATGTATATTCAATTATCAAAGCTGATCTGGGTTTACCAAACTATGGTTGTTGGATAATTGATCCCAGTTCAGAACATCTTTCGCACGAACGAACGACGTCACCCAACTTCTTCGATCTACGATATCTCGAAGGCTCATCAACAGCGGACTCACAACCGACGTGAAACTTCGGTTTAAGTCCACTTTAGTGGTAGATTATCGATTCTTTGGGTATAGTAGATACTATTACATAGTATGTAATGCTAAATGAATCTAAATTACTAAGATTTTGTTGGTATAATTTAGTACGTATATTTAGTCATAATTAAGTATTTGACATCTATTTATTGTACTCACCTGGGTAAGGAAAAGACTTTGCCATGGTTGCAAGATCCCCCCTATTTGTATGTACCCGGTACCCGGTCTCATCTGGATGAATTCGGTCGGAAATGGTCGGAACCTCAAAAGCTTGTGCCATGAGGCCATAGCTGCGACACCCCCCGGCCAGGCTGCGATTGGAAGGTGCCAGAAAGTCCTGCAGCAATGGACCTTGGGAACCTTGGGGATCACTATTCAAACATAGCAAGAGGACGGGTCCAATGCTATTCAAACGCAAACAAACATGGAACACTGGAAAATCCGAAAAAAAATCAAGAGCTAGATCATCTGCAATATGGTGGATATTCCATTGGCCAGGTCAGATTACCGTGATAAGTATGAGTTAAAACATGATAAACTCAATTGAACGGACAACTGCAGATTTGGAAGAGAGAACCAACAATTGATACATTCCTATATGAGGCTAGCCAGGGCGTGGCCATCAAACAACAAAAGAGCAATGCACAAACTGCCGGTGCATCACTTGTTTAAGTGTCGGTTTATCAAGCCGGCTGGTGTTTGAAATTCCAAAAACAAACACTAAAATTTTGGAAGTTTGGTGGATTTGCAGGACATTGTCAAACATGTTTCATGAGAAAAAAAATAGGCAGAAAGTTCAAGCATCATTTTCCCCTATGTTTCACTCGTCATGTTTAAAACTCCTCTCCGAGCGCAGGAGAGGCTAAAATGGTCAGAAAGAGGATCACTGGAGCCATGGCAGCCATGGCAACCGTTTTTTCAGCGGAGCCAAAATCGCTACGTTGAGTGGCTGGTGATCCATTGGAGTAGACGATGAAGCGAATAATATGAAGCCCAAACGTTCAAGGTTTATCATATCTTAGCTTTGTGTGTTTATAATATATCACTTGAATATGTATGCATATATATATATTATAAAACTGATTTATATAATATAATAATATGAAACCAGCGTGTGTTTACAACAAGGTGGTACGATCATGGTTTTGGAGAAGGTTAAACAAACAGAAGCGCCTCCAAGGACATTACGAAACCAAAGACTGAGTTTGAGACAATGGTGTCGAAACTCTTGCACAGCCTTGGCATCTGCCAGCTTTTGGCGTGGTTTCGTGGCAAGGATTGAAAAAGAAAATCTGAGCGGAAGCTGTAGAAACACAATAAACATCTAACATAAAGTTCATGAAAGTGCTGACAATTATTACAATAGTATATTACAGTATGGTAAATATACACAAATTAATATATACATATCATATTAATCACCCATAGGATCCATGTATGGTATATATGCCTATATATGCTAACATTGGGGGTATATTGATGGTAAATGTTACCATATACAGCATACATGGATCCTATGGGTTATATACTACTTTTATCCTTCATAATCCTTCATAATCTAAGACTCGTTTCCACCTTGAAAAAAGGACGCACCGAGTGGTTGGCCGCTCGTTTCGCTCCAGGTTCATCTGCGCCACATGCTCCAGAAGTATCGAGGTACCTTACGGAAATCACGAATATTTCGAATGGATACAGTAGACATGGAAGAATTCTTGATTTAATTTAATTTATATATTATCCAGTATATATTTTGAATATAATTTGAATTAATTCTTCAAAAGACACTATAACTTGACACATCCGACAAGTTCTGATCAAAAATTCCACCCTCCCATTGTGGGATATTCTGCATCCTGGCTCCACGAAGGATCTTCTGCGTCTGAAAATGGAGGTATACCACAAATTCCAAATGATTCTCAACTGGTTGGTGGTTTCAACCCCTCTGAAAAATAAAAAATGTTCCAAACCACCAACCAGTCAACATGTTTTGATGCTACACCTGCACTATATCGACAAAACATGACAAAACCATTTCCAGATTCTCTGGTTTCATGTCATTTTGCCGTCATTTTTGATCAAGTCGGGACCCACTCTTAGGAAGCCACAAGTTGCAGCATGACTTCGGAGCGTCTCGTTCAATTCACGACAATCCTCGGAGCAATACCAACTCGACATCTGCCATGGGGACCAAAATCTTGATTGCTTAGGCCATGAGTAACAAAGTTCGTCGAAAAACTCTGGCTGCTTAAAACTTCTATAAAAGATTGTAAAAGTACTTTATCGACATGACCAGCCATGCAATGCGATAAGAATCAAAGGCTGGTGGTGAGCAGTGCCCCAGCGTCTGCAACCACTTGGTGTAGGGAAGCTTAGACAATTTACGCCAGGGGCCACCCAGTAACTGGCTGATAAGATATGTAATAACAGGAATAACAGGTAATCACCATATTTTACACCAGTTCTACATGGATAATCCAATAATCTAATGGGTTTCCTCAATTATGGGTACCCCCAACTCCCAACCATTGGATTCCCGTTGATCATACGCAATTTTGGATGATATTTGGGTACCCATGACTCAGGAAACCTATATATATATTATATGGTTGGTGGTTTAAACCCCTCTGGAAAATATTAGTCAGTTGAGGTTATTATTCCCAATATATGGAAACATAATCCTTTCCAAACCACCAAACATATATATATATACTGCATATTGCTTCAGTATGTATAGGCTATTATAGGTGACAAACAGAGCTCCAACTGCCTTGGCACAAAGCCTTCAGCTGCTGAGTTCACCAACCACTGTGACCATCTGCATGCGCATTTCACCCGGCAGCTCTTGCCTTGATGCTTTCCCCAGGCTGGAAAGTAGGGGAACTGGATCAAAATTCAGGAGGATTTGAGACCAACTTTCTGACCATTGATCTTACCCTCTGGTTCTGACTAACAGTTCGCTGTGGAAAATTGCCCATAGAAATTCATGGTTTACCTATTAAGAGCATGGGTGGATCTTTCCATGGCTATGTTAGTCATAACCAGATGGTATATATATATATGGCAGTGTGTCAAAACCTTGTACCCCTGGCGAACATCAAAATAGCTGGTAAATGGATGTTCATCCCCCTAAAAATGGTATTAATAGGTATTGATCCATACCCATATTATTATTAACCACTATTCTCCAGTATTGTCCCACTATCATCCCATGATTAACCAAAAAAACCATGCGACCATGGCATCTGGGGCCATCCGCCGTATCCGAAGGTCGACGGCCTCAACTGGATTGGAGGTAGGTCATCCAATGAATAGATCATAGAGAGGGTCTGTCATAAATGACCTATGTTCTGACAAGAACACGTGTGTTTTTTTTTCTTAAATCATAGGTCATCGGTTAAACCGGTCTGAATTGGGCCATGGGTTATACATGGTTATACCTGGTGTGAGACACGTTGAATCTCCATGCCAGCCAGTGCGCAAACGCAAGGATCACACCTTGAAGGAAGCGATCTTCTGTAAGAAGTTGGGAATGGTCTTGCTGGAGTCCTGCACAACCGAGAGCCATGCCGACTGTCGAAAGCCAGCTTTTGTGACCAACGTGGATGTGCAATGATGTGCATCCCCGAAATACTCAGGGGGGAAGAAATAACCATGAATCTGATGTACAGTATGAAATAAGCCGGTTATTATATGAGGTGCCCTCTGAACTTTTAACGCAGCTATTCAAAATGGCTCATCTATAGATGATAAAAATGATGGTGTGTATCCAAAAAAAATGTCAGGTGCCATAGCTGTTCAATTACCAGATAAATAAATAGATGATGTTCCCAGCTGTAAAATGCTATATTAATTAAACCTCCATAAATTGGAGGGATCTGCCATTACCAGTATCATGAGATACACCTTTTTCTCCAGTGTATCGTGAGATGTGATAACATATCCCTTAATACGTAGGATCTTTCACATCTTACTAGAGTGTATCACATATCCGGTATACCATTGCAGCTTTAAAATGCATTCTGTTCTCCAGTTTTAGATGTGATTTTTGTTGGATGCCCTGTCCTTCACAAACTCTTTGATGCGATCTTCTTCGCTAAGGAGATACGTGTACCTCAGAGACGGTCGACATACCGTCGTCGACGGTTAACAACGACAGTCGTAACATGCGAAAAAAATACACCGTGGAGCCCCCCAGTGATGTGAACGTTGGTTTAAAAAAACATGAATACTATAGTTATAAGTATACTAAGCCATGGTTATTGGAGTTATGTTCACCAACTTAGCCATCGTTTGGGGGCCCCACATTGTACGGGGATGGGTCATAACCTATGAAATTACCATATGACTGGGGGAATATCGTAAACATAATTATATTTTGCAGCTATGACTTAGAGTAGCTAGGGTGCCAGGGTTTCAACTCTCCAGATGTGGTTTGAATGGTTTCATTTCAATCGATCCAAATCTGGAGTTCATAGAGATCACCATGACCACAAAACCGCTGGGTTGATCAGTGGACATCTGGGGCTTAAACGAATGACCCCCCCATTTTAGGATAGCTGTTTTTTTACACTAAATAACCAATGCCTTGGAGGTCTTTTGTTCGTGGCCATTCAAATAGCCGTCACCGTCATAGCCGAGGCTCTCATCATAGATTCGAACCGCCTGGGGCGGTTCGAAGAGGGAGGGATTTAAGCGGCCATCAAGGATTCTCAGCATGCTCCAGGCATGATATACTTTGTATACTTGGATACACTTGGATGTGGGTCAAAATGGAAGACCTAGGGGACCACAGATGTTAGTCTAGTTTAGTTTGAACCATCCAATTATTGGGGTACCTAATTTTGACCCATACCCACTTGGTGTACTTATACAATTTTATACATGCATGTGCCGGACTGAGGGTAACTGTTGGTTTTTTCGCTTGGGGGAAAACGTCTATGCTGTACATGTGCATGTATTAAAACAGTTACAAGCATCATCGGTTCACAATGTGGGTATCATACAACTACCATACATGGCATCGTGTGATGGGAAACATGTCCGGCATGGTCCGGCTCATTTTTCCATTTGTAACTGGTAACCTGCAATCATGAGTGGACCCAACAACCCACACTTAAAACAAGTCCCGTTTTGTTAGCTATGAGCATGAAGAACATTGAACGGCAAAAACAAAAAAAAACATGGTCAATCTTTGATAGTCCACAACAAAATAATATTTTGCTGGTTATGGTTAGTTATGTTCCATTTATAATATTTATATATATAATAGCAACAATTATAGTTTCTATCTATCCATGGGTTTTTTTCTCTGTGTTTGAGCCTAACCTGGAGCCCCCAAACCAACCTCCGTGGCATTGGCCATGTTGAAGTGCACCGTGCGCTCAATGAGTTTTTCCGCCTATTCCCAAGACCCAGCGGAAAAAAATGTCCATCTGCAATGGATTGGTAGGGAAAATTAACCTGAAACCCTGGTTTTGACCACCTGTTGTTTGGGGTTCCGATTCTCCCCTCCAATCCTGAGACGACATACAAATCATACAAATACAGAACATCATCTCTGTCTATATCTCTATGGCTTTATGTCTATGTAATAAGCCGGAAAAAAACAAAAACCTTGAAACACACACACACACAAGATTTTGTTTTACCAACCAAAATCAGGGGCTTCCTGTAAAACGTTGCTTTATTATGGGGTTATCTGCACATGATCATATTTGCCTATACCTCAATGCAGGGCGAACGTGGAGTGTTTGTCTCCCATCTCTAAGCATAGCTGACACACCACAAGATTGCAGGGTACACTCTGGGCGCTTACAGTTCACCAAGTGTAAAACCTGGAAGTCCAAAATCCACTTATATGCCAATTAAATACGTTGCTATGTAAACTCAGTGGTCTCTCCGCTTCAAGTATAGTTTTTCTCAGTGCTTTCAGTGATACTATCCATTTTGAAGGTAGCATGATGGATGCCATATCATCATCTTTGCCATGTTCCAGAATCGAGGTGTACAACCCTGATAATAGCCATAAATATACAGTACAGGGGCAAATATGTAATAATAATATATGATAACCATTGATAACCAGCATGTTAAATTCTGTGCCCAAAAAGGGAATACAGTTTCTGGTTGGTGGTTTCAACCCCTCTGAAAAATATTAGTCAGTTGGGATGCTTATTCCCAATATATATATATATATGGAAAAATAAAAAATGTTCCAAACCACCAACCACGTTTGATCATGGAATCATGTTTCATATCTCCAGTGTTGGCCATAATCTTTTTGGAAACCCGGCGGTTTTCCAAGGTCCAACCATTTCTGAGAGATTCTGAGCCCTGTCATCGGGCATATATTTTTCAAGGATCATCCCATTTAGTAAGTGGTTACTGGGTCTTTACACATCCTCTAACCCAGTTAGAAACAGAAAAACAGTGAAAAACCATGGTTAAACCATGAAAAACCATGGCATGGAAAAATCCATGAAAAAACATGGAAAACCCATGGTTAAACCCATGGTTAAACCCTACGTATATGATTTCGCAACCAGGATCAAAGTATCTGACCCCCGAAACGATCCGCCTGCACCACGTGCTGTTCGTCCAGGTGAGTGCCCCAGAGATTCTTCGTCTCCTTGCTTCCAGATGCCTCGCATGACTGGGGTATATTGATGGGATCCATGGCACACCATATATAGCAGCACCTATGGGATCCTATGGGAAATAAATATATATATATCATGATATATCTTGTAAACTTCATTAAAACCACACTTTTTTGTTATATAATCTTATAGATTTAGAATTTTTACGAAACCTCAGCCCAACTCTCTCCAGGTGGGAGCCAGTCAAGCTACAACCGTTGCCTTACCGTCCGAATCTTCTCGGTCCAAACCCTTGGTTATCCCGGGCCCCATGGGTCAATCATCATTTTCCCATATGTATAATATATATATATATTATATAAATATAATGTATGTCATAATTCTTCCCTATGAAAGTGGTCATAAATGGTAACTCCCACATTTTGATGACATGTTGTTTATTCAAGTGGCCATAAATGGTGACGGTAAAATCTCACATTTTTACACCCCTGGGTATCCAAAAACTTCACCAGGCGGCCTGCACTCGACTTTCGGGAGACGGGATGTCGTTGAGGCAAACCACAAAGTCGCGAAACCTCGAAGAATTCGGAGTTCTGAAGTGATTCTAAGCAAAAAACTGGTGGTTTTCCATAGTTAATAGTGGTTAATAGTGGTTAATAGTGGTGAATGGATGGTGAATATGGATAATGATGGTCATAATAATGGTTAATGATATGATACCCTCTGGTAAACTAACAGTTTGCTTATTGAAGCCATGGCCCATAGAAATAGTTGATTTAGCCAGCTATAAAATGGGTGGATTTTCCATAGTTCCGTTAGTTTATCTCAGAGGGTAACTGAAGTAGCGTTGGACCCAAATGGTATAAATGCCATGAAAATCCACCGTGGCCGTCGTTCAAAACGCTTTTCCAGCAGCGTGGTTTCCGTGGTTTCCGCGTCTTCCGCGGCTTCCGTCGTTCCTCGGTTCCCAGACACTCGCAGCACCCGCTCCACCACACGTTCCGTGGAGTCCTTGACCTTCACCTCGTCGCCTCGCGCGGAGCGGCGGAGCGGGGATCTCCAGGATCTCCGGGGATCGGGAAGGTCTTTTTTTGGTTTATGGACGTGCATGACCTTTGGTCAATGGATATTATATGTATTATATATATATTATTATATATATATATATTAATGTTATATTAATGTTATTATATTAATGATATATTAATGTTGGTTTATATATGTTTATATCATATCTTATATTTATATCATATTATTGTTATTGTAATTGGACATAAATATATAGATACCATGGATGATACCATGGATCTGTTTTGAGTGGATAGATGCCATGTTTCCCCCGTGCAAAACGTTTCCGCCTTTCGGTATAAGCTTCACCACCTCACGGGACGACAGGGGCGACAGGGCAGCCAGGGATGAGTCCCATAGGTTTTCTATGGAAATCTATGGAAAAATATAGGAAAAACATAGGAAAAATCCTCTATAAATGGAAAATCATGGGAAAATCATAGGTTTTAATAGGAATATCATGGGAAAACAATGGGAAATATATATATATATGGAGAAATCCTATATAAATGGAACAAACCCATGTCTGTATGGTGTTCTTCACTAAATAAAAGCGAATTGGCATATCCTGTTCCAGTGCCTGTCCTTTTCCATCTCCGAAGCAAACTCTTGCCCGGTATGAAACACCCAAACTCCTGGCTGCCCTGCATAATAGTCATGGCAGGCAAAATTTCAAGCAGTTGGAGACAAACAACTATAGTCATCCTGAAGTAGATAGAATATGATAGAATATGGTTTTGAAAAGAAAAGGAATATCTTTGAACATCCCATATTCAATCCATATTCTATCTGCTTCAGGATGATTATATATCTTGCATATATCTTGCCAATCTGGCGGATTTAACCAACCCTCACAATTTTGGAGCCCTGCAATGACAGTGGTCGTTGGTGGTACCCCATTTTCAGGTAGACCCAAATGGGTCCCTGCACTTGTCACTCTCTGCAGCTTGTGTAGTGATGTTTAGTGACCCTTAGACAAACAACCAGGCAACCTGTTTGGCCAACTAAATGCATAGTTGTGCCTCATTTGCCATTGAATCTGATATCTTGTGCCACAGTCCAACTGAAAAGCCAGTTGCAATGGGGCCCTGCTAGGAGCCCAACGAGGAATGCATCTTGCCGCTCTTCCTCGTCTTTCAACCTCAAGCGTTGACAGGGTAGCAGTGGACCCTTCAAATTCTTCATGGTTGATACTGATGCTACATTGACATAACTATCATAAATCTATATGGCTACAGTACTGGGTTCATCTGAAAATAGGCTAAACCCCAAGTTCTGATGCTCTTTGAGTTTCCTATATAAAATGTGTCATTTTAAGTGTCCCCTATTTTCAAACAAATCCATAATCCACTTGAGGTGTGTAAGACAGGGCCAACATACTCCACCAAAGAAGAGAAACATGGGGTCAAAGTCTTGAAGCTGTTGAGCATTTAGAGCTTGGGGTCCCAAGCCAGGCACAGCATCTCTACATGTTGACCTCTAGCCATAAATACACCAGTCGTTTTTTAAGACCTACTTCCACTCTCTTCACTTTTCCGTCCAATCTGGTTGGTTTCCTCGAAATTCCTACTTGAATGTGCAGTGCCAGTAATTTTTGTGGCTTATATCATCATAGTAATATCATAGTGGTAGGGGTTGAAATGCCAACTTTGGAGGGTCAAATCCCATAGTTCTACCCTAGGTGTTGCTTCGCATCTCCATCCACCGAAATGGCATCCCCGTTGGGCCCTTGGGCCCGAGGGGTTGGGAGAACCCAACCGTTCACAGTCACGGATTGGTCGTTATTTCAATGGATTGGTTACAGGAAACCCAAAAATATTCCATAGGAAAAACACCGGTTTCCGGTTAAGATTTTCCCTTGAACCAATCCATTCATTACTACAAACAGGGATGATCAATGGCTAAGCCATTGATAAACACAGTTGGTCTAAGGAGCCAACCGATTCACCTCCTCTGGCGTCAGGGGCCTGCAAATGGCTCACCGACTGATGGGCTATGTTTCTTGGTATGGTAATTCCATGGAGCATATGAGATCACTGGCCATCTCAGGAACCTAAATTGGAGGTACCTACCATATATAAGGCCTATGTAAGGGCTATGTAAGGGAATATCCCCACAAAATATGAACTACCCGAAACCTATAAAAAGATGTTGAAAACAAATGGTTTCAATAGGAAAATAATTTGAAAATGGTGGGGTTTCCACATCTGTGTTTGTTTACAGCAGGCTAACTACACCAAAAGTTGTTGAAGATAAGATTGAACTAGTGTGAAGATAAGGGTACAAGTACCAACTTTGAGGATATCTAGTCACTATAGTCAATCTATCTAGTCCTGAATCGCGTCCATTTGTCAGACTTATGTTGAGATCTGCAGCTATGTGACATCACTTGAATAAAGGCAAACCTCCGAGCAATAATTAACTTCAATAAGACTCCATTGCACAAATATCACCGCCAGAATTTCCATTGGATTCTCATGGATCCTTGAGACTTCAGCAAACTGGCCGGGCCCGGCTTGGGATTTCCGAAGCGCTCAAAGAAGACGGTGTACTCATGCACGGACTGTGCCACCAGATATCTGGTCCTTGGTGGTGTTTGAAACAACACCTCGAGGTGGCTACACCAGTCAGTGGGCTACAGCATTCGATGTTTTTGGATGTTTTTGGGGTATAATTTCCTAGTTTTATATAAACATGTCAAAAGAAACATATCATGTCTACATGTAACAATATGTACATCTAACTTGGAAAAAAATGAAAAAACACAGTAAAAAAACAGTTCTTTTTCAGATCAAGAACAGATTTTCCATATTTTTCCAGAGGAATCCCATGGGAATCCCAATCCACCCTGAGTTCCCCAACTGCACGGAGAGAAGCGCCAGAATCCCCCGGAAGAAGCGCGCCTCCGTTGGGCTCCTGGTGGTTTCACGGCCACGGGATTTTCATGGTGATTTAAGGAATCTGAAAGCCATCTGAAACCAATCATCCCTTTCTTATGGTTAATGATAGTTAATGATGATTCATAGTTAATGATGATGTTTATCTGGTTGGTGGTATACCTACCCCTCTGAAAAATATGAGTTCGTCTGTTGGGATGATCACATGCCCAACTGAATGGAAAAATAAAATTCATGTTCCAAGCCACCAACCAGTCATGGATTGAAATGGAGAAACATAGGGAAGAATATGGTGACTTAAGGAATGAATAATGGGTTCAATGGAATTTTGATGGATCAATGGATTAGTTTTGTTGGGAACACCTTCACCGGAAACCATGTTTTCCCCGTGAAATTCGTCGGGAAAAACCTGCAGTTCGCGTGAATTCTGGGATGGGCGTTGCTGCGAGAAAGTATGGAAAATTGGAGATGTATATTTTTCTGAACATGACACCATTATTTTAGATAGATCCATAATTTTCCTATCAACCATTATATTTTCCTATCAACAATGAATTTCAAAATCTATACTATCTACTGTATACCCTCTGGCAAACGTTTTCATAACAAAAAACTATGGAAAATCACCATTTTTTTGTCGCTGGGTAAATCAAGGATTTCGACTGGGCCATGTTCAGTAGCAAACTGGCTGACGTCCTGAGGTGAAGACTCTCCTGTCGCACAGTTTGTTCTGGTCTGACGGTCTGACTGTCAATGGAAGATCCATAGTTGGTTTAGTTGGTTTAACAAAAAAACATCATCGAAACATAATCAAAACATCATCGAAAAAAATTAATCAACATCAACATTGATCAATATTGATGAGTCTTTGTCTATTGAACATTTATACTGTGGATGGTTGCAAAATCCTAAACACCACTTGGCAACTATTGGGATTCCTATGAAACACTGTAAATAATGGGATTATAGTTAAACCATCCGCAACTGGTGCAGGATTTCTTCCATCCATAGTAGTCGTTTTTTCAACAAAACAATCAACATCAACACATCAACAGTATGATACATTCACATCTTAAGTCAACGTTAACATCAATATGGTCGGTCAGCCATGGATAAAGCCATGTTTTTCTCCAGGTTTCCCAAGGTTTTCGCCTCTCGGAGGACCGCACAGACCTCCTCAAACCACTGCGATTTGAACCTGGAAGCCGTTTGAGGACTGGAAGATCAGAGACGAGTGGTAGATTAACTGGAATTAAATGGTAAAAATCTGGGAAAATATGGGAGTTCTTGCATTTTCCATGGGAAAATATGACTGGTTTTTATGGTGCAACAGACCTGGATCATCCTGGATCCCTTGGATCCCTTGGATCAAACCAACAGCAAATATGGGACGGTGATAATGTGGGACATGCCACAAGGGCGCCATTTCGAGATGCCCATGGTGATTTTTGCATCCATCTCTTTTTGGGCAGTCATTGGGGATGTTTATATGACAGATGTCTTCCAAATGGATGTTACCTAACGCTGTTTTTGTTGGGGATACCAGTACTATATATCTATCGATATTTGGTGAGATCTGGTGAAAAGATGTGAAAAGCAACTCATATCATTTTACAAAATCACCATGGGAAGATGTGTAAATTGACCACATTGAAGTGGATTCTGTGGTATGGTCCAGACATCTCCAGATTGCAATAGATTTTTATTTCACCAGAATATAGAATGATTAAAGAACAAAAAACGCCCCTGGCGAATTGTTTTAAATCAACAGCGCAATTTTGGGAATGATTCGTATCCAACAAGCAAAATCAATTGTACCCTGAGGATATTCTATACCATCCATGGTGCTGAAGATGTTTACCAGCATGTTTTTTCATTCATTATTTTTTTTCTTTGTCTCATACGTTTGACCAATTGGAATATCACTAATTACCCTGACACATGATCAATGAATTACTCAGTGGGTAATTACCGTCCCGACCAATGACACATAGACATAGTAATACCACAGTGAGACTCAGATACCCTGACCAATTGGAATATCAGTCGCACTGAGTCTCCGGCTTGGTGAAAACGTCATGGCAGCATGATTTTTGCCTTTCCGAGAAGTGATCGATGTCCACCTGAGACGAAGTTCTGTCCCAATGAACGGAACGTGCCAGATGACCGAACTTAACTCCGCGGGCCGGCCTAGGAACACCCATATGTATATGTATATGTATATGTATATGTACATGTATATGTATATGTATATGTATGTATATATATATGATATATGTGATACTATGTAGTATTCGGTAATATACATAATATATTATGTATGTAAATTATATCATTATGTATGTAATTTATATTATAATATTATAATATGGTTAATCTATATATAATATACACCATTGAATTCGTGGAGGTCTCCAAGGACGGCACCATGCTCGACGATGGCGGTGGTAAATCCACCAGTAGCATCGAGCCATAGCCCGTGCCATACCTTGCGGCAGATCGGGGGAGACACGGTGAACGGGCCCATGATGGATGCTGGGAATCGCCAACTATGTAGGTAGATAGATAGATATTATATAATTTATATAATTATGTATATATGTTATGTATATCTATACACACATATTACCCTCTGGTTATGTCAAAATAGCTATTGAAAATGGCCCATTTATAGTGAGTTGTCCCATTAAAAATGGTGATTTTCCACCGCCAGTGCCGAGATGCCAAAGGTAGAGGAGCCGCAGGGCGGACTGGTTGCAGACCGTGAGGATCCGCACCTCGTGTCGAAAACATCCCAATCTTCGTTATATTCTGAGGGATAGAGGATTATGTGGATATATATATATGTATATAATAGATAACATATATATATATATCAAAAATATTATATATAATAATCTATATGTATATATAAAATAAAATATGATATATTATTATACATTCTATTACCCAATATATGGATTTTAATATGGAAGATATTCTATCCCAATCCTACCCCAATAGGGAGGTCCAATGAATATCCTGCCCCTGGCTCCTGGCCGGTCACTTTTTTTTTCCCCAGCACCCAGGTCAAAAAGGAGCTGGTCCAACTCTTCCTGACGACATCAGCAATCCAATAGAAATCCCATAGAAATTCCTAGAAATTCCATAGGAATCCGAGATCCTTGTTGATGATTGTCAATTGAACCGGAATATTCTCACTTTTGGTTGGGTGATGGTTTTTGATCTTTTCGTAAAGTCGAACATGCATTTCACAAGTCTGACCACTTCTGGGGCCTTCAATGCCTCACTGGCTGGTAGCAAACAATTGGTTGTTTCTTGGTGGTAGTCGACATGTATGGATATTGATGGTACTTAACATGACAAATATCCAATTTCAATCTCCATTATACCACCATATGTGCTGGTTAAATCAGTTAAATCAACTTAAAATCCCCAATCTTGTTGAATTGGGTTAAACATGGTTAAACCGACCTGGTAGCCTAGCTGGTTGCCTACCTGGTAGCCCATCCAAAACGGCAGAGGTTTAATTTGGGTCCTCCAAAATGGCGAGTTCCACTTCTGATGACAGACGATGATCCCCTCCTGTGACTCGACGCAGCTCGGCCTGTGGAGCAAGGCCAGTATTGGCATTTTATTGGGAGATACCAATATTGTATGATTGTATTACAAGCAAATATAACCATACAGTATTATGGCTTATGGTACTTATGGTTATTATAATGGGCATGGTTATGGCTTATACTTATTGTATATGACATATAATATGGCTTATGGTTATTATAACCCATTATATGCCAAATAATGGCATGCCATTATTATGAAATATAGCATAATAAACCCTACAGTATTATTGATGGCATTGTATGGCTTATAATCCTAATAGTGGGTTGTAATAATGGCATATAATGGCATAATAATGGCTTGTGATACTTATTGGCATTTTATTGTATCTAATAATGGTTTATAATAATTTCATGGGTCATAATATAATATCATAATGGGTATACAATGATGAGTTTACAATATTGTATATAATAATAATATTATATATAATAAGAATATGTAAGGATAATATGGGTAATGGGTTATAATAATGTACTGGGTATGATGGATATAATAAGAATATTATTCAAGAATTGCATATGTAATGAATATTGAATGCTATATAATGGTATAATTCGGGATACTAAAAATAATTAATCGGAAATTTATCAAACATTAAATTAACAATGCAATAAATAATGAAACATGGATATGTCCACTATATTTGATTGACTAAATATTGAATTTTCCAATGTACTATATGGTATAATGGGATAAAAATTGAATAATACGACATATACTTTAGCTACTTCTGATTACTATTTGCAATTCTACTGGCATTTTACTTTTCTAAAGGTCTTCGATATATGGTATCAACACCTATACCATTCTATTCACTGGCACTCACATCTGAAAAGGTTTCGTCCTAATGGAGGCGCCTTCACCCCTTTGGCCTTCAAGTGGAGCTGCAACATTTCCTGAGATCGCCGCGGGCTCCGGATTTCTTTTGATACAAAGTGTATCGAACATTATTAAATATTATAAATCTCTGTAAAAATCGATGATGTATTTTGGTACAAGATGGTACAATCAGTGATCTCTGGCGAAAAAAGATGAGCCCCGCATGCACATCCAAGGAATGATAGGAAGATGATCCACCAGAAAATCCTCCCTAACTGTGGCTTTGTCTGAAACTAGTCTATCCCCAACTTCACTGGTATATCCATGTGTATCCGATTTGTTTTTTTGGTTAGGCCATTTTCGTGGTCGTGGTATTCCCCAAATATCATGTTAGTTTGTTGATTTGATATCCCATTCAATCCCGTCACATATCCACAGATAATGATATTAATGGGATATGTCCATCATTGTGCTGATTGACTGTCAATCCCATTAATATCCATGAAAATCCCATTCAATCCCAATTAACAAATATTAAATTCCCCAAATGTTAGTTGTTGATTTGATATCCTATTCAATCCCATCAAATATCAGATTAAAGAATTAAAGACATATAATTATTAAATTCCATTCAATCCCATTCAATCCCAATTAATCCATATTAATGATGGTAATGATTAATTATTGGGATGTGGACAGAAAAGACCATAATCAATGGGATTATTGCCATCTGGTTATTTAACATAGCCATGGAAAGATCCACCCATTTTATAGCTAGGTAAACCATCTATTTCTATGGACCATTTCCCATGGCTATGTTAAATAGCCAGAGGGTAATTATTCCATCCCATCAGTTATCATGATTATGGTCTCCACATCCCCATCCCATCAGCGCCATCCCAAGCAACAGATGCTTCCATCGGGATGGCTTCGTCTTTGTCTCCATGCATGATACCTGAGCCCAAGACGTGGGGAAGACGACCTGATACGACTAGACCCTCCAAGTAGTCAAAATGAGACAGATATGGTAAGATAACAATTTCCAGACATACTTATGGATACCTCTGGATACTTGCAAGATGCTTCTGAATACTTATGTATAATTGGAGAATTAGTCAAAAAATCATAAATATTCTATGTGTACTTATGGATACTTGGAGGGTCTAGGGAGACCTGGAAATCCACCAATACAAACACATCCAGAAACATGGAGTACAGTAGATTGACTATGAGAATGGATTCACCTTCCTAAAATGTTTGAGGTTCCCAGACGCTGCAGCGTCGGACTTTTGGTTCTGGGAATGCGGGCCAGAAACGAACAAGGCAGGATGCTGGAATCCTGTCTTCGATGGTATGTTCCTCCGGGTGGAGGACCAGAAACATCAACCTGGGTGGGTTTGAAATATTTTGTAGCTTAAAGGGTGACATGCAAATGCCCTAAATCCTACCGTAATTATGTGGGTTTCGATATTTATGATCGTCAATGATCATTTATGGATATTACACAAGACAAAATGGAGGATCAATTGGATAGATTTCACCCACTTAAAGTTTCTCCACACGACAGCTTTAGATACCAGGTATGCCAGGTATCAAACATCGAAGCAGTTTTTCCCCTTGTTTCCCGTCCTGGAGTTCCTGGCGGATTGCCCCATGGATCGTATAGCCCTGATCCGAATGTTGCGATGGCAGCAAGTCGGTGCCGGAGAACCTGCCGCCTAGCGCAGCAGATCTGAAAAACCATGAAATGGAGGATTCATAATGGTTAACAATGTGGTTAAAACAATGCCATAAACCACCCACTTGGGAATGGAACAAATACGAGTACCACCCATAAAAATGGTGATTTGGGGGATGGTTTATTACTGTTGTACCCACATTAGCGGTTAAATAACGGTTAATAACTTCATAACCATGGTTAATATGGGGAGAATGGGGGTTCCAAAGTCATGGGGGTACCCCCAAATCATCCAAAGTCATTCGACCATGCCTTAGTATATTGAAACCATTTGAAACCTATGGTGACTTGGGGATCCCCCATTTTAGGAAACCTCCAGATGTCCACATCATGATGACATCGACAATCTGGCAACTAATCCAATATTTCTATGTAGAGTCGTCTGGTTTGTCAGCATATTTCTTGTACGTTGAGTTTTTTATGGGGCACATTTGTTTCTGGGGGAACCAATCATGTCATAGTTTGATGAATAACATTGAATAACCATCAGCAATAAACATAGGGGTTCTGCCTGACATGACATGGCCATAGCGGCCATTCATTGGGATCAATTAGGAGGCGGTGCCGCAGTGCCCTAGCCGATTATGATAACGTTGCTTGAGTTTCACCCCATATCTACCATAACCCTAGGTGTATTAGGCATAAACCAACTGAGGTAACATCCCATGGCATCCCCATCAAGATTGTCTTTGTTGGTTAAGTGCTACTGCTATTGAACCAAATAATGGTTGAGCACTTAGCCAACTATGGGGCACTAAATAACAACAAATATTATTTCATGATTCTAATAGCCATAATCTTCATTCTCTCAACCCTTAACAACCCAGATCCTTAATCAACTACCCAACTTATCTAAGTAAACATGATGAAATACGCACAATAGTCCTTAGTAGCCTTAGTTATCAACTTTGGTGCTCGCACTTCATTTTCTGCCGTCGCCAAAGTCGATGGCTTCGCTAGAGAAGCCATCCAGAACTTTTCAATAATTCAAGGATCTGCTCAGCACACTATTTGGCAAGTCAGTCGCCCTGTTGGCGAAACAAATCTTCTCACGCACCTTCTTCGCTCCAAAAATTGGCGGGCAACTGGTGTGATGCCTGTCTGATCTTCATATGTGGCAGCAGCTTTCCAGGCCGCAGCATTTCCAGTCATTGCAGCATTTAGAGCGTCGCAAATTGGGTGCCTCGGTCAAATTTGCCTCAATGCCTATGCGATTGGTGTCTGCAGCTCCAGCGCTCAATGCAAGGATGATGAGGCAAGCGAAGAGAATGGATTTGAGCGCCATGAACATGCCGACACCCCTAAGCTAAAAAACGTGCCCGAGTGGTCTGAGCAAGAGATGCCGAGAAATGACACAAAATTCCAAGCTCAACCTGAAAGAGCTAATTCTGTGACTCCCATGGTAGGGATATTTTTCTTGATTCATAGATATATGATATATGGTATATGGTATATATATATATATCTGGTATGGTAAATATATGGTATATGGTATAATCTTTGAGTCTCACGGGAAAGACTAAATAGATGCTTCATGCGGAGAAGTTGCTCGAAAAAAATCTCATGGGTATCCATGTCGACGATAAAAATTCAGTGCTACTATCACCAAATATTCAAAGAACGTCAAAAAATGGCCACAATGAACCGTACATATTCATGATAGCCAAAATTATCACCATAGATCACCATAGATTTATGAATTATTCCCATAATTCTGGATAAAAACCATATCAATTATCAATTCACGAAGCTGAAATATGTTGGCTATTTTGAGATAGATACCCCAAGAACCCTAAACCCATCATCCCAGTGACGTTGCGACGGACAATGTCGTCATCAAATTTATACAGTTCTATTAATTACACATGATATTTTGTTATACCATGAAATTTATTGATTACTTTTATATTGGTGACATGGGATTCAATATATTTGTTGTATAAATGGTATATAATGGTATATACTGGGATATAATGGTATATAATGTATAATGGTATATACTGGGATATACTGGTATATTATGGTATACACTGGTATTATACCCAGTTGTAATGGCATATACTGGGTGTAGTTGTCCCTATTTTTTGTTCAGTCATACCTAGCCAAGATGCCATTGGTGGAAGGGATGATCCATACCTAGAGGATCATTGGCTTATGACCCATGTATAAATTAACCAGCAATGGGCAAACCAGCAATGGGGATTTATCACTGGTAAATGGGCAAATAACCAGCAATGGTAGTTTTTTTCTTTGGCTAGTTTGTGTTGTTCTTTGCCCATTTAACCACCAATGTATATTGGTTGCTGACCAATGATCCCTCCCCAATGTATATAGTTGCCGATCAATTCGCCATTAGTAACCATTAACCCTTTACTAGCCATTATTGACCAATATTAACCACTATTACCAAGTATTAACAAGCATTAATGATGATTCACCACTATTAGGCATTATTAGCCATTTATTAACCATCTACTCACCACTAACATTAACCACTATATATTAAACACTAATATTAACCACTATATTCACCACTTATTATAACCGCTAATTTTCACCATCATGAACCCCCAATGGCTAATAAGTTGTCAAATTAACCATATTAACCATGGATTAACCACTAATATTAGCCATTTATTCACTGGTTGGTGGTTTCAACCCCTTTGAAAAATATGAAAGTCAGTTGGGATTTTTCTTCCCAACTGAATGGAAAAATAACATTCATGTTCCAAACCATCAATCAGTTCACCATCAACCACTGCTAACCATGGTTAACCCCCACCGCCCCGCCTTGGCCAGGCAGCACCTTGGCTGCGCTGCAGGCCGCCGTGGGCGCCAGCAGCAGGGCGCCGAAGACGTGACGAAAGCGCGAGGAAGCCAGGCTTGCGGCGATCCTCGGGGCCATGGATATGTTTGGTGTGCAAATATATCTATCTGTCTATATATATATATATAATTATATATATATATAGGGACGTCTCAAAATACCGTGTCCAACCCGGGAAGTTTGACTAGGGGGTATGATTCGCGGGTATGATTCGGGGTATGATTCGTGGGTATGATTCGCGGCCCTTTATGTACCTATACTTACTCCCAAAATCGTCCGAATGTTGCTAATTAATGCCATTTATATCATACATGGAGTATATGGGTCTCATGGTGCTGCTGCAAGGGGTGATGCTTCAGGGTGCTGCAAGGAGGGTACGTACTGTACCCAACTCGTGCTGCAAGGGTGCTAGTGAAGGGTGCTGCTGCGCGCTGCAGGGTGCTGTTGTCGGATTTTTCTCAGAAGCAGCAGGACCCGTGGCGAATGGTTGCAAAGAAAAGAGCTCACAAAACACAAGTTCTGATCTTGCAAATGTACCAAGGTTCAGAATTGGGAAGTTTGAGGTATGATTCGGGTATGATTCGGGCATGATTCGGGGTATGATTCGGAAACCCATCTTTTTCCCGAGAGCGCCTGCGAAGGGTTCTTCGTAAAAAAGCAGCCGTTATACTACATCTTCACACCTTCACATCTGCTGATCTAGATCTTCACACCTTCACACCTGCAGATCTAGATCTTCACACCTTCACATCTGCAGATCCAGATCTTCACACCTTCACATCTGCAGATTTAGATCTTCACACCTTCACATCTGCAGATCTACATCTTCACACCTTCACACCTGCAGATCTAGATCTTCACACCCTCACATCTGCAGATCTACATCTTCACACCTTCACACCTGCAGATCTAGATCTTCACACCCTCACACCTGCAGATCTAGATCTTCACACCCCCTGACACCTGCTGATCTAGATCTTCACACCTTCACACCTGCAGATCTAGATCTTCACACCTTCACACCTGCAGATCTAGATCTTCACACCCTCACACCTGCAGATCTAGATCTTCACACCCTCACCCTGCAGATCTAGATCTCACAATCCTCTACACCTGCAGACTAGATTTTCAGCACGCCTCACAATCTGCAGATCTACTCATCACAAACCCTCACACCTGCAGATCTAGATCTTCACACCCTCACACCTGCAGATCTAGATCTCAACACCTCAATCTGCAGATCTCCTCCTCTCTCTTCTTCTATGCTCTCTTAGGCGGGGCGGTGCCGCCGCGGCCCCAGGACAACCCGCCCCAAACCCCCCCTTTTTTCGCACGAAATGGACGTTGGACGTCCAAAACCTAGGTAAAATTGCGATTTTGAAGCGTCCCCGGCAACCCTTTCGCACGAAATGGACGTTGGACGTCAAAAACTGAAGAAAAGTTGCAACTTTTATTGGTCGCGCGCAACCCTTTCGCACGAAATGGACGTTGGACGTCAAAAACTGAGGAAAAGTTGCAACTTTTATTGGTCGCGCGCAACCCTTTCGCACGAAATGGACGTTGGACGTCAAAAACTGGAAAGTTGCAACTTTGAGGTGTCCCGCGCAACCCTTACGCACGAAATGGACGTTGGACGTCAAAAACTGAGGAAAAATTGCGACTTTGAGGTGTCAATCGCAACCCCTACGCACGAAATGGACGTTGGACGTTAAAAACTGATGAAAAATTGCGACTTTGAGTTTCAGATCGCAACCCTTCACACGAAATGGACTTGGACGTCAAAAACTGAGGCAAAATTGCGATTTTACTTATTCAATCGCAACCCTTACGCACGAAATGGACGTTGGACGTCAAAAATTGAGGAAAAATTGCGATTTTACTTGGTCAATCGTAACCCTTTCGCACGAAATGGACGTTGGACGTCAAAAACTGAGGAAAAATTGCGATGGACGCTTTCGTTTGTGTAAAAGTGTCTGTGTGTAAAAGCGTCTGTGTGTAAAAGCGTTTGTGTGTGAAAGCGTGTGTGCGTGTGTAAAAAGCATCTGCGTGTAAAAGCATCTGTGTAAAAGCATCTGTGTGTAAAAGCGTCTGTGTGTAAAAGCCTCTTTGTGTAAAAGTGTCTGTGTGTAAAAGTGTCTGTGTGTAAAAGTTTCCGTGTGTAAAAGCCTCTGTGTGTAAAAGTGTCTGTGTGTAAAAGTGTCTGTGTGTAAAAGCGTTTGTGTGTAAAAACGTCTGTGTGTAAGAGTGTCTGTGTAAAAGCGTCTGGGTGTAAAATCTTCTGTGTGTACAAGCTTCTGTGTGTAAAAGCGTCTGTGTGTAAAGGAGTCTCTGTGTAAAGGCTTCTGTGTGTAAAAGCCTCTGTGTGTGAAAGTGTTTGTGTGTAAAAGCGTCTGTGTGTGAAAGTCTCTGTGCAAGCGTCCGTGTGTAAAAGCCTCTGTGTGTGTGTGTGTAAAAGAAAAGCGTGTGTGTGTGTGCGCGCGTGTGTGTGTGTAAAAGCTTCTGTGGGTAAAAGTGTCTGTGTGTAAAAGTCTCTGTGTAACAGCTTCTGTGTGTAAGAGCGTCTGTGTGTAAAAGCGTCTGTTTGTAAAAGTTTCTGTGTGTAAAAGCGTCTGTGTGTAAAGGAGTATGTGTGTAAAACAGCTTCTGTGTAAGAGCGTCTGTGTGTAAAAGCTTCTGTGTGTAACAGCTTCTTTGTGTAAAAGCGTCTGTGTGTGTAAAAGGAGTCTGTGTGTAAAAGTGTCTGTGTGTAAAAGCGTCTGTGTAAAAGCGTTTGTGTGAAAGTGTTTGTGTGTAAAAGTGTCTGTGTAAAAGTGTCTGTGTGCAAAAGCGTCTGTGTGTAAAAGCGTCTGTGTGTAAAAGCCTCTGTGTAATAGCCTCTGTGTGTGAAAGTGTGTGTGTGTAAGTGTGTGTGTGTGTAAAAGCGTCTGTGTGCAAAAAGCGTCTGTGTGTAAAAGTGTCTGTGTGTAAAAGCTTCTGTGTGTAAAAGCGTCTGTGTGTAAAAGCGTCTGTGTGTAAAAGTCTGTGTGTAAAAGTCTCTGTGTGAAAAAGTCTGTGTGTAAAAGTGTCTGTGTGTAAAAGCGTCTGTGTGTAAAAGCGCTGTGTGTAAAAGCTTCTGTGTGTAAAAGCCTCTGTGTGTGAAAGTGCTGTGTGTAAAAAGTCTGTGTGTAAAAGCGTCTGTGTGTAAAAGCGCCTGTGTGTAAAAGCTTCTGAGTGTCTGTGTGTAAAAGCGTCTGTGTGTGTGGTAAAAGCTCTGTGTGTAAAAGCGTCTGTGTGTAAAGCGTCTGTGTGTAAAAGTTGTCTGTGTAAAAGTGTGTAAAAGCTCTATGTGTAAAGGAGTCTGTGTGTAAAAGTGTCTGTGTGTAAAAGCGTCTGTGTGTAAAATCTTCTGTGTGTAAAGTGTCTGTGTGTAAAAGCTTCTGTGTGTAAAAGCGTCTGTGTGTGAAAGTTTTCTGTGCGTAAAAGCGTCTGTGTGTAAAAGTCTCTGTGTGTGAAAGTGTTCTGTGTGTAAAAGTCGTCTGTGTGTAAAAGTGTCTGTGTGTAAAAGTGTCGGTGTGTAAAAGTGTCTGTGTGTAAAAGCGTCTGTGTCTAAAAGGGTCTGTGTGTAAAAGCGTCTGTGTGCGTCTGTGTGTAAAAGCTGTGTGTAAAAGTTCTGTGTGTAAAAGCGTCTGTGTGAAAGCGTCTGTGTGTGTGTCTGTGTGTAAAAGCATCTGTGTGTAAAAGCTCTGTGTGTAAAAGCCTCTGTGTATGACACAGGTTATTTCATTTTATTATGGAAAATCCCACATAAATGGCCCAAAAAAGATCGGCACCATGATGCTGTAAATGACACATGTGACAATACTTCACTAGTGAAATGTCTGCAAACGTTTGCACAAAAAAAGGTCCAATACTATAATGCAGTAAATGACACGCGTTATCTCATTTTATTCTGGGAATATCCCACAGAAACTATCAAAAAAGCTCGGTACCATGATGCCGTGTATGACACATGTCATTTCATTTTAGTATGGAAAATCCCCCAGAAATGGCCCAAAAAAGCTCGGTACCATGATGCTGTGTATGACACATGTTATTTCATTTTATTATGGAAAATCCCACATAAATGGCCCAAAAAAGATCGGTACCATGATGCTGTAAATGACACAGTACTTAGGATGCAAACTAGTGTTTTGTACTTGTAATATATTGTCTTGATACTACTTGTCTCGCCTGCCTAAAATACATCTTTACTATATTGTCTTGCAATATAGTGTCTCAATACTAACAACAGAAGACCCTGCTCTCTCTCTCTCTCCCTCTTTCTCTCTCTCTCTCTCTCTCTCTCTCTCCCCCCCTTTCTCTCTATCTATGTCTCTCTGTGGTTGCAAGACACGTGTCATATGATGCCCTTTACCAAGCAGCACAGTGCATATGCATGGGTTGTCACATGTATCCTCTTCTCAATCAATCTTACTTTTCACAACTTACCCCTCCATAGCTCATATAAAATTCACCAGCCATTCACCGACTATTTTTTACGACTACCATACTCAGAGCTGCTTGAAAAACGTCTTTTTCGCTCTCGGGCCAACCGTCGTCTAGTTTTGAATCCAGGAAGCTTTGTTGCTTGAGTCTCTTTTTCCCACCGTCAACCTACTACGATTGCTACTTTGTCAATGGCTGCAATGGCTCGACCTGCCAGACGACCTTGGACAGGACCTGAGTATGAAGAATGTGAAGATCTCAATGCACATCTATGATTTATATCCGCCGGCCTGCCAGCGTCTCTTCTGGATGTTCTTCTCATGTACCTTTAGCTCAGCTACGCTTAGGCTTATGTTCCTCTTCGACGGAGTTTTGGTTTGGTTGCCAGCCAGCCAGCCAGCCAGCCACCCAGAGCCAGCCAGCTTAGGGATAATGATGAGACTCTGTGCGCGTGGAGAAGATTCGCCAACACTGGTCAATGAGCTTGTCAGGTCCATTATAACTAGTGAGGCCAATGCAATCCCAAACGATCCCAAAAAAAACATTCATAATCCTGATTTTTTAGGGGTATGATTCGCAGATTTCGGGGGTATGATTCGGGGGTATGATTCGGGGTATGATTCGGGGGTATGATTCGCGCAAATCGAACTTCCTGCCTTTACTAAAAACTGCACGCATCAAAAAAAAGACAGGCCCATATATATGTGTGTACTGTATAAAACAATTATAATTATAATATATGTAATATATAACATATATATCATGTAATATAATATATGTACTATATAAAAAAATATCAGTAATGAATAACATATCATTGTGTAAATAACATATATATCATTATATATATATATATATTATATATCACACGTAGTATATGTACATGGATTCGCCATGAATCCATCCACCCATGGAGGCCGCCACGAGGACCAGTCGTCGATGCGTATCCGTCGTGAGCTCATCGGCAGCGGCTTCTGCATCTCTGAGGGCTTCATGCAGGCTGCTCAAGTCCTGTATCGTTTGAAACTCTGATCAAGTCCGATGTGGATGTCTAATATGTCTGAAAATAGCCATAGTTCAGACTACTAAATAGCCATATATAATATATAGCTATTCTTTATATGGCCTATACCATCGGTATACCTTCTAAATAGCCATATTTCATGGGGAAAATGAAAAAAATCATCAATGGATTTAGAGGTACCAGTTTGGAGTGTGCAAAAAACTAACACTTGCCCAATTGGACAAACCACACGGATCCACACGGTACATAAGTATTACCATAAACTAAACACGTATTTTCTTTAATTAAACAATGGATTATATACCATGCATACACTATAATTTAGTATACAGTAATTTTGGGTCGAAAATGTAGATCCAGGGGTGGGGCTTTCCAGAGACTCAAACTTGAGGCAGTCTCATCTCAAAGCTCCAGCCTCCACAAGTGGTGCATCATTGAGTCATCATTGAGTCATCGTTGAGTCACATATATTTTGTCATGCCTTCAATAGCAGAAAAGTTTCGAAAAAATATGTTGGTCCCAGCATTATTCAGCCCTAAAAAAGTTGCTTGCTTTCCGGTCCCTGCAGGGTATCATCACACTGTCCTTCTGCATCCAAGCACCTTCCGCTCCCAAAGGTTTGGAGTATTCCAAGCAGCGAAGGAGATGGCCTTTCTTGTCGGCATAGGCCTTGAGTCATTGGCGTTCACCCTGGGCCATGGAAGTTGGAGGAGCCAAGGTGTCCAAAATTGTTTAAGTTAAGGAGGATGAAGGAGGAACATGACTCAAACAACTTACTGGTGCTAAATGTAGGAAATGGGGGAATGGAATGATTGTTCATAGTATTTCATAGTGGTCTTATGGAGTATTCCCCTCATTCCCTACGTTTAGCACCAGTAAGACAAAACCTTCTGTGCTGAGAGATCTTCAGAGGATGCTTTCATGGACCATGAAGATAGTTTTGATGTTCCACTGATCTATCAATAACCCATTATCAACCCATCATTTTGTACTATTTGGATCTATTTGGGGGTGCAGTTCCAGTTATAAATGGATAAATCACCACAGTTATAGATGTTATAGAGGTGATATCCCCACTTCTGGGGGCTATCACCATGGTACCCCCCTTCCCAATTCACGACCCGAAGAGCCTGCAAGAAGCGTTCCTTCCGGCCGCCCGGCAACGAGCCACAGCCGGGGAGGTAGAGGAGGCACAAGGTCTCCTTAATGGGGCATGGAGACAGGCAGATTTCGCTCAGAACATCGATAACACCATGGTTGTTTTTGTCCATATACAGTTGCCAGCAGAAATATTGTATATGTTATTATTATTATTATTACCCTCTGGTTATTTAACATAGCCATGGAAAGATCCACCCATTTTTTATATAGGTAAACCATCTATAAATAAATGGGCCATCTATTTTCCATGGCCATGTTAGTCACAACCAGAGGCTATGTATATATATATATATAACTTATATATAACTTATATAACATGTAAATGTCAGCGCCTGGTTCATGTTTCCCTAAAATTCCGAATGTTAACATGGGTCCCAAAATGTCCCAGTCATATGTAAAATGTCATCCCCAAACCATGGGACCATGGTTTCTGGAGGTGTTTAATGTATTTTAATGTTAGGGAGAAGGGATAATTGTGTGCTTAATACATCTTAATACCACTCGATAGCACTGGCATTTCGGGCAGTCCTTAGCCATCCGCGTGGATCGCATGAGGCTCAAAACATGACTACAACCCTGCAAGAGATGAGCGGAAAGCCTGCGTTGCAAGATCTTTCCCTACGATATGGTCAACAACCCGCAAAGAGATGACAAAGAATTGTCTGGAAATTCTCCAGTTTTCAACCCACCTGAAGCAGCATCTTTGGATGACAATCTGACGGGTGTTGGAAACCAATTCTGATCTTGAACAGCTGCGGATCAGGTGTTTTTCCTATCTCAACCCTAGGTGATTTGCTTGTGCCGTTCGTCATGTCACCAGATACCCCAAACTCGATTAGTGAACTACCAAAACTAAGCTGGGTCTGAAGAGCATTGAACCATCCACAGGTGACTTGATGAATTCTGCACGTTTCAAAATTCATATATGGTATTATCTGGTTCTATTTGCTTGGTGCATGCATGTGTTCTTTTTCATTGTCCATGTTCTGTTGATCGAATGATCATCCCCTGGTGTCATAACATATTTTAAAATATAATGTATTATATGTATGAAGATATATATATATATATATACATGTATATGTATATACATTATGTATATATATTGTATATATATATATACACATATATATATATATATACATATATATATACATATATATATATACATATATATATATAGTTTATATATATAGTGTGTATATATATATATGTATATATATATATTGTATATATATTGTATATATAATGTATATATAATGTATATATAATGTACATATAGACACAATATATATATATATATACTATATATATATTATGATTATATATTGTGTAAATATGTATTATATCTATATTATGACTAGTATATATAATATATATATATATATTTATGATTATGTACATATTTATATATATATGGTGCAGCGTTGGCCACCCCCCCTCCCCCCCCCCACCAATGGGTATGGGTGGACAGTATCGTCTGGTTCTTCTGGTCCCCCCCCCTTGTGGCCTATGGTGGTGGTATGGTTCTTCTGGTCCCCGCCCCCCCCGTGGCCTGCGGTGGTGGTATGTTGGTATGTTGGTGTGTATGTTGGTATGTATGTTGGTATGTATGTTGGTATGTATGTTGGTATGTATGTTGGTATGTATGTATGTATGTATATATGTATGTACAGTAAATATGTATGTATGTATGTATGTAATGTATGTAATGTATGTAATGTATGTAATGTATGTAATGTATGTAATGTATGTAATGTATGTAATGTATGTAATGTATGTAATGTATGTAATGTATGTATGTATGTATGTATGTATTTATGTATGTATGTATGTATGTATGTATGTATGTATGTATGTATGTATGTATGTATGTATGTATATGTGTGTGTGTATGTATGTATGTATGTATGTATGTATGTGTGTGTCTGTATATGTATGTATGTATGTATGTATGTATGTCTGTATGTATGTATGTATGTATGTGTGTGTGTATGTATGTATGTATGTATGTATGTATGTATGTATGTACGTATGTATGGAATGTAAGGTAATGTAAGGTAAGGTAAGGTAATGTAAGGTAATGTAATGTAATGTAATGGTATGTATGTATGTATGGAATGTAAGGTAATGTAAGGTAAGGTAATGTAATGTAATGTAATGGTATGTATGTATGTATGTATGTGTGTATGTATGTATGTATGTATGTATGTATGTATGTATGTATGTATGTATGTATGGAATGTAAGGTAAGGTAATGTAAGGTAAGGTAAGGTAATGTAAGGTAAGGTAATGTAATGGTATGTATGTATGTATGTACGTAGGTATGTAGGTAGGTAGGTAGGTATGTAGATATGTATGTATGTATATACACCACCACAGGGGCATCATACCCCCCCCCATCCCATGGGGGGGGGTGGGAACACGGGACACGGGACCATATATATATATATATAGAGATATATATATATGATTATATATATATATATATGATTCTATATATTTTATGATTATATATGTCATACACACCATACATAGACCATACGTACATTCTACTGACTTCAACGGCATCCTCCACTTCTACGTCTCATCTCTCGACGTCGACTTCGAGTCTCCCCACCACCGAGTTGCGACTTTCTTCGATGCCATCCCTCCACTCATCCGGCGGGCCACCTACGCTGCCGGGCCAGTCCCTGGATGTCCGGCCGGTGCTTCACCACTGAAAAACGTGGTGCTTCAACATGTATTTTCATGGGATTATAATATGGAGCTTCATTCCAATATATTGGGATGTTTGATATAGATTTGATATGTTCGATTCTTACTAAGTAGGACTCACCACTCATTTGATAGGATTTTATCCTAAAGAACTGCTTCATCCTACTTAGTAGTGGGTTGGTTCGCCCCAGTTATCACTGGACAAAACCTAGTAGTATCTACTAGTCTTACTTCAAAGATCTTAAAATTGGATACTACCAACTGGGTATCACAACTGGGATCATATATTTACCAGTTAATCCCAGTTAATCCCAGTTAATATTGGGTATCATATATTTACCAACTGGGATATTGGGCACCCTTTGTCCCTGTCCCATCCCCCGATCAGTTTGGAAACACTGCATGTTTGGAAACCCAAGTGATGAATAGAATATGGGGATGGGTCAAGTTATCTATGAAATTACCAAATTTGGGTGAATCAACATCCATTAACCAGCTATGACTTAGGGTACCTAGGGGACCAGGCTTTTGACTCATGGCCATATGAATTGATCTGCTATAATCTACTATAGCAGGGTCATGCAGGGTCTCTGTGCGTCCGTGTTTAGGTCTCAACAGCAAGATGTTCCTCTTGAAATCTGCAACATCAATGTGACCCATCAAGATAGGACCGGTTTGAAGGGTGAAAACTTCAGATAGATGACCCGCTCAGAATCAGAGATCAATAAATGTAGTCCTTGCGGATCTGAGGTCCCTGATTTCGGAGGTCAAGGAGATTCCCTCCCAAAATCCCTTGACTGATAGGAACTAAGAACTGGTGCTGTCAGGAATTTTACTTTTGAAGACAACCAGATCAGCCCATGGTATCGCAACAATGGCCCAATGAAAAGAGAAGACTTCACCAATGCAACATGTGTCAACCCAATAACAAACCATTCCCAAATAGGCTTGCCACATTGGGTTTACTCCTAGCAATGGGATAAGATTTTAAAAAGAACTACATGACCCGAAATGGTTGACTTCTGGCCTTGCTTATCGTTGGTTTACACATTATATAGACTATAATATGTATATATATATACATATTGTATATATAGTGTATACATATATAACAATATAATAAAATATAATATAACATAATATAATATAATACAATATAATCTAATATAATATAATATAATATATATAATAATATGATATAATATTATATAATATATAATATAATATAATATAATATATTATATAATAATATAATATATAATATAATATAGTATAATATATAATATTATATTATATGGTATAATATAATATATAATGTAATATATAAAATAATATATATATAATATAATATAATATAATATAATATAATACATAATACAATATAATATATAATATATAATATATAATATATAATATATAATATATAATATATAATAAAATATAATATAATATATAATATAATATTATATTATATTTATAATATAATATTATATTTATAATATAATATATAATATAATATAATGTAATATAATATAATATATAATATATAATATAATATAATGTAATACAATATAATGTAATATATAATATATAAAATAATATATAATATAATATAATATATTATATAATATATTATATAATAATATAATATATAATATAATATAATATAATATATTATATTAGATTATATTATATTAAATTATATTATATATTATTATATTATATTATATATATGTATATTATTATTATTATATTATATATATATATTATTATTATATTATATATATATATTATTATTATATTATATATATATATGTATATGATTATTATTATTATATTATATATAATATATCTAATGATAACCACAAAAGAAAGAACATATCCTGAAAATATGATTTGATCTTTCATGACAGATGGGCCCTGTGGAAAATGGGGTGTCCCTGGCCCCTTTCGCCTACGGTGCCCTCAATCCCTTCGAAGGGGACGGAGCCCCAATCGGGCACCGGCCTCGGGAAAATGGGAGGATTCCCATAGGATTCCCATGGGAAACATAAGGATCCAATGGATTCCTGTTTGATTCTGGGAGTTTCCAGTGAAACCCTCTCTCTTTCTGTGATGAATTGAGCTTCTGAAGATTTCAACATTCACAGAGGTCTCGACCTCTCAAATGTTTCATCATATCAATTGATGCCGAGAATGGGATGTGTCGCTGCCATGTAACCAACAATGGAGAAAAAATCCGCCCACACCGCTTTGGCGGTGAAGGCGTGCTTATTGGGGGGAAACAGCTACACTAAATGCTCAATCACATTTGTTAATATAGCAGTCGCTATATCAGCTTTAGCTGGGGGGGGGGGCAAAAACGGTTTCGCACCGAGACGAGAATTAGGTGGTGTTTTCGACTTTTTTCGAGGATTTTTGGGTGTCTGAGCGCAAGAGGGTATTGAAATGGAATTTTGGGTCATTGTGGTAGCTTTCCGGCCTTTCCGGCAATGGAAAAACGGCCAAAAATGAAAAAAACATTGTACATAGCAAGATTTTGCAGGGTTTTTGGATGCCAGAGCATTGAAAACACTACAAAAACAAGTGTTTTGGACTGACGTTATAGCAAAAAACGTGTAAATTACCGTATGCTTGACTGGAAACATTACAAAAACACTGTCAAAAGCAATGTTTTGGAAGGATTTACTGCTTTTATGGCAAAAAACGTGTAAATTACCGTCTGTTTGACTGGAAACATTGGAAAAACACTGTCAAAAACAATGTTTTGGAAGGATTTCTTATATATATGTTGGACTTGGCTACCGGCATGGAACATGGAAAAATTGAAGAAAACACTGTAAATAGCGGTATTTTCAACGGTTGGGGAGATAAGGGAATTGGAAGCATTGTCGAACATGATGTTTTCGACTGGTTTTATGGCGACAAAAGTGTAAAGTACCGTGCTTTGAAGGAAACCATTGCAAAAACATGGAAACACATTCAAAGAACACGGGATTTGGGGGACTATCTAGGCGTCGTTGTCTAGCTATTTGAAATTCCGCAGCTTGGAGAGCCTCCAAGGGAGGGAAAAGTGAAAATTCCATAGCTTGGGAAGCTGTCACGGCAAAAAGCATATTTTCAGTCCACTTAAAAAAATATTCACGAACCCAGCAGTTATGTATGTCAATTCTCCTGTGCTGCTCTGCTCCTCATATTCCACACCACCCTTAGCCCCTCTCACGGACCGAAATAAACCTGCGGTGTGGGCGGCCACCCCACGCGAAGCGGGGTGAATACCCGAAAAAAACCTATGGAAAAACCTCAGTTATGGCCATTTCTTGCAATGAACTAGCCTCTGATAATCAAACATGGCAATGGGATGCAATGGGAAGTTCCCCTATTTAGTTCCATGATTTTCCCAGCTAGAAACCTCCGGTGTCCGGGGGTTCTCCGCTAGCCAACTTCGATTCTCAGGGCTTCCGGGCACCGGCACAAAGGGTACCAAGGCACGTTCACGGCTCAGCGCATCCTGCGAAAAATGGAGGATGTCCGCAGCTCCATATGAAATTCACTGGTGGTGGTATCATCAAATGATCTTCAAATATCATGACATTTATCATCAGATATATATGATATATAACAACGATATAACGATACATGTTCATATATCTTCAAATTTCTACTTTAGTACAAATGATGTACAAATGAATGTCATAATGTTAAAGATCAGTTCACTCCTTCCAAACTTGAAGAACACCCAAGCTTTGTGTTCATGTTTGGTGATCTTCTATGCCCTGCCTTGAAGATGTAATCAGCTATGGCTCGCTTGCAAGCCTTGACATACCTTGGACGCTGAGACACTTAAAAAACAACAACACCTTGACTCGATCAAGTAACGATGATGTCACCAATGTCATTCAATATACTTGAATTGCTTGAGCAAACAAATACAAAGTTTCCATAGATGTCCATAGATGTCCATATAGTCACAATTTGCCAATGCTACCCTTGCACCAGTCAGAAATTTCAAGGGAAGGACTTGGTCATGCACCAGTCAGAAGCGTCGTCCCGAATCGATCCGAGATTTTTAGAGATCAGATGACCAGTTTCCACCAGTTTCCCAAAAAAATGGCAACCAATGGCTACCCTCTGGTAAACTAACGTAACTATGGAAAATCAACATTTTATAGCTGGGTAAATCCACGAACTTTCTATGGGCCATTTTCCAGTTCGCAAACTGTTAGTTTACCAATGGCTATCATGGAATATGATTTACCATCAGTTCCCCACAATGGCTTGGAGCAAGCCTGATTCTGGTTGCTGCAATCCCGATCGCCATGAAAATCGAAATAAGTCCAAATAACATACCATAGATTCCCATTCACATCCCATTTATTTTAAAAAAAAAAACAAAACAATAAAATTCCCGTCTGACATTCCAACGACCTCCCAACGTCTCGACGCACAACTCAGACTTCGGCCCCGTTTTCATCTCCTCAGTGACGCTGACGATGATCGACTCTGCCACCTCTCGCGACGAGGACAACGTTAGCGAAGTCAGCTAAGCTGGTGAACAGAACTATAGGTGAAGTCTATGGTAAAGAACTGGTAACTTATCTGATAAAGAACTGGTAACTAGTTATGGTTTATGGATGTTTATGGTGAGTTTATCTGAAATGGTAAGTAGTAGGAAGGGGGTTATAACATGTTATAAACCAACCTTATAACTAGGAAGGCACACCTCGTATGATAGGCTTAATCATACTAGTATAGCAACGCGCCAAAATGTTGCGGAAACACAAAATGTCCGCTCGACATGCTCGAAACAGGAAACTCTGCATCTTGTGGGGGACCACAAGAACTCTATCTCCATCAACATCAAAGTGAATCATCAACAACTTGTTGCCCTCTGGTAACTTACCCATTAAAAATGGTGATTTTCTATAGTAGTGTTAGTTTACCAGAGGGTACTATAATGTCAACCCTGAACAAAACTTCTAGGATGTACAAAAAAAAAGTGGAAGGGTAGTAGAAAATCATCACAGCTTGGGTGGTACCCTCCTGTAATATCCTGTAATCAAACATGGTTGGGAAATCCTCTACAATGCCATGGAATTGAGGAAAAATGGAGGATTCTCCCATTCATATCCATTGATATCATAGCTTTGGCAATTGAACAAATGAGCCATGCAAAATACCCCTATCCCATCTATGTCGAAAATGGTTTTCCAATCCTATAGCTTATCATAATCCATCATAATCCCCCAGTACATTAGATAGTACTATCATAATCCTATGGATTATCATAATCCCCAGATATCCCCAGTATAAGTCCCTTGTTCATAACCAGCCATTAGTTCATACTATTAATAATTATAGTCTATTATTATATTATAGTAATAATTATAGGTTGTCCCAATCCTATGGGTTATGATTCTGAAAATGGCCGTAGAAATAGGTGATTTACCCAGCTATAAAATGGGGATGTCCATAGTTTTTTCTATGTTTACCAAAGGGTAATGTTAGTAATGATCATATTTTTAGTAGGTAAATCACCATTTTTAGTAGGTAAATCAACATAAATCAACTATTTCTATGGGCCATGGCTTCAATAGTTATGTGACAAATTACCAGAGGGTATCAGAACCAAACCCTCCAGGCGATTTCGCCTCTGGGTCCAGGTCTTTGAAGAGACGATCGGCTTCCACCAGGAAGACTGGCGCGTGCGGCGCAGCGTGACCCAATGCAGAGGAAAATGGTGAATTTTCTGGATCCAGTTTAACGCCAATTAATCATAATATGTCATGATGATGTGTTTCCAAAGATTTTAGTTACTTTTTCAGTGTGTGACATAGTCATAGTCATCATATCATGTCAGCCGGAAAATGCACACATTGCATCAAGATTGGGTGTTTTCCAAAATCGGATAGCTTGTGAATATGTCCAAAATCAATCAATGACATAGAAAAAACGCCACTCATGGATTACCCCCGGCTATCCCCCGGCTAAAGGCCATGGTGGATTATCATGATGATCACTACCCAAAAAGTGGTGGGTAAAACGACTCACGACTCAATGACTTTCAGGGTTACCATGGGTTACCTAAAGACCATGTTCCCTAAAATGTGACTCCCACTCGACCCATGCCATGACCATCTTGAAGACCACCGCTCTGAAACCCGGCGCCTACATTCTCCAGCCACTCAGTGTTGATGGGAGCCACGGCGCTGTCCGCGATGCCATCGCTCTGGGAGAAAGAAAAAGGGCGATTCTCTGGGTCGATGTTTGTTAGGTCAAGGTCCATCTTCGAAATCTAAATATGATTTCAATCGATCTTAGTGACCTTCAATGATAATTTATAATCCAAATTCATGTCTGTATCTAATCATATCTAATCATTCTGATTACGATTTAACCATCATCAGAATCATCCATCAGAATCTACCCATCCATCCTATAGATTCTATAGATCCGATCTCCTGAGTCTGCGGCAATGTAGTAATTGTATCGCAACAGGCCGCCATAAAAGGTACGCCTGACGACTCATCGCCGTCTGGGGGCCACGGGATGGGCTGGAGACCCACCTGGAGACACCGGCGTCGATGAGCTCAACGTCCAAGGAGGAACCTGCTGCAGGTTGGCTTGCTTGGAGAATTCGAGGTCCAGCATGCTCCGAAACTGGATATAACTGGATGTCTTTGAAATTCTGTGAATCATTTTGAATCATTTTGAATCATTTTGAATGTCATCCACTGAGTGATTTGTCAACTTTTGGGTGCAACCTCTATGCTCAAAACAAAGGAGTGGCGTTCAAAAACCCCGGGTGTTGTCGCTCTACACTGCTTGGTTGAGAACAGGATTCCCCATGATTTCATGGATTGTGATATTGCCCAACATATTGGTTAGTATATGTTAGTATAATATAGTATAATCCTCTAAATATATGTTAGTATATGTTAGTATAATAATCCTCTAAATCATCAACCAACCATCATTGATCGCTTATATTCCACTTCTATCCAACCATATTTTCAGTTAAAACATGTTAAAACCACTAGAATCATCAACCCTGTCAGGTGGATCATGGTGGATCCGGCCTGGGAGGATCTGTGAGAGCTCAAACTCACGCTCCAAGATGTCCATGGGAGCATACTCGGGTTTCTGACCTGATTTCGACATCAGTTGCTGCTGATTTTTGATGGCAACCCCTAAAAATTGAATTTGAAAAGGCTGGACACCTGGGAATATCTATAAAATTCTATAAATATCATCTGTAATCGAAAAATTCTTCAATCTTTTTGGGTCCCAAAGGTTTCTCCATGACCGTCAGATCGAATCGAGTTTTTGCTGCTACTTTGTACTGCCGCTGGTCACCAGTCATCATCCTTTTCGGTTCCCTAAACGCATCTTTAGGGACAAAAATGAGCACCACCGCAACCCATCCCCATGTATCCAATCTCAAAGCCACGTTAAACCACAATGAAAGCCACTTCAAACCTCACGTGTTTCCCCAAATATTTCAAGTTTAGTCCCGAGTCTTCGTTGTTTGAACTGAAATCATGGATAATTTATGATAATTTTGGAGCTATTACTTAGTCCTTCCATCAATTCTGTCCTTAGATATTGAAATGGAGGTGTCCAAGTCATAGGGGCTATCCATTACAAACATCCAAGTCATTAGACTCATTGGATCCATGGTTAGCATTGAAATCACCATGGTGACTTGGGAATGCCCCATCTGAGGAAACCTCGAAGTAAATGCCCGCCTTGCTGGCTAAACAATGGTCATAGATATAGAAATCCCTGGTTGGTGGTTGACCTACCCCTCTGAAAAATATGACTTCGTCAGTTGGGATGATGACATTCCCATTTATCCATATTTGTAGATGATTTTCCCATTGAATCCTCCATTTAACCATGAATAGGTCATAGAATAACATATTGATTGAACAATGTTCTCGTTTATTCATATTCACAAGAAATATTTTCCCATAGCCATAGTTCATTTTCCCATTGAATAGTCCTTCCATAATGTATCCATAAATCCATCATATATGTGTAGATGATTTATGATTCTTGTTGCATTGAATTATCCATTTGTGACCTTTATCCATTTGCTGTATCCCAGTGACCATGTCTCCCAAATCCACCATAGATCATTATCCATTTACATCCATTTATCCATGGTGCATCCATTTATCCATAAGGGGATACATAGTAGAAATATGTAGAAACTATGTATCCATAGGGATTATCATAATGTATCCATTGATCCATGGTGCCCAGTGACCTTTGCTGTCCTTTGGCAATTTCTTCTGTCGCCACTTCAGGCACTTCCCTTCCTGGCTCCACACCTCGGAAAAAACAAGAGAAATTCCGTTCCAAAGGAGTCAAATGGACCTTGAAATTCAAAAAAATCTATATGGGTATGGGTCAAAACCTACTAATCATGTGGTTTTTTAGGGATGACCATCAACCTTGAGGTTCACTGGGGGTACAGGGTTTTGACCCACATCCATATGTTGTAATTCTAGTTGGTATACATTTATATATAGATTTACATGTTTTTTAGATCTTTTAGGTATCATCACGGAAGGTATTGCAGCGATGGGAAGTACAACAGTAGCCTCAGAATGATTGTGAGAAAAAAGCTGGAAGATGCTGGAAGCTTCATACGTGCTATCCCCAATTAAAGCTATGGAAAACAATGCAACTGGTGCTTTCAATATCCCTGAATCATACAAAGGCATCCTTCTTACATGGGCTCCCCCATCTAAATGCAGTGCAGGGCGACTTTTCCTAGAAAACTTCTCGTATCTACTCTTCGGCGGGGTGACTAATTAGCTGATCTGAGAGTAGCTGTTCAAATTCAAAACAATGAAATTGAAAGCATCAGTTTACACATGTTTACACAAGCGTTCGAACATGTCAAGGAAGATCTTGTCAATTGAGGCGTTTCGCACTGAAAACCCCAATGGCTAAGGTTGGCACCAACATTCCCGAGAGAGGGGACAAGTGTGACGCGATTCGGCCCGAACTGCTTCCATGGTGAAGATCCTGTCGTGTCAGCACCGGGGCTGATACCTACAAGGTAATTGAACATAGCTATAGAAAATGATCCCTTCATAGACAATTCACCTATTGATCCTATTGAAACGGGTGATGTTCTAATAGCTATATGAGTTTTATGAAACCCAAAGTGATGTACCCTCTGGTAATGACTGTCACAGTTCGCTATTGAAAATACCCCATTTACTTCGTGGATTTTCCCATGAAAAATGGTGATGTTCCATGGTTTTTTGTAGGTTTACCAGGGGCCAAGCTGTTTCAATTCCTTGGAGCCGCCAGCGTCGTGGCCTCACCATAGGGAGCCGCCAGCGTGCGAGAAAACTCGTCCAAGAGCGGGGGGAAATCAATGGCCTGCGTAGATGCTCAGACGGTCGGACCTCAGACCTCTGGTAAATTCACAGTTTGCGAACTGGAATTCATCACCAGTGTTACTGTAATATATAGGTAAATTATAGGTAAATCAACTATTTAAATGGGCCATGTGAAAAATAGCGAACTGTTAAATAAATTACCAGAGGGTCCCCAAAATATCCCAATATTGTTACATATTGTTCCCAGAAAATATGGGACGTTATCCCAAAATATGGTTACTTTATCTGCTTGGTGGTATAGCTACCCCTCTGAAAAATATGAGTTCGTCAGTTGGGATGATGACATTCCCAACTGAATGGAAAGTCATAAAATTCCATGGTTCCAAACCACCAACCAGTTACTAATAATTCACTTATTAACCAGTATTAACCATTAATGATCCAAAAATATGGTTACTTTATGTATCTTTATGTTAACATGATACATTCTGTAACGTCCCCAAAGACTTGCCATAAACCTCCGCTAGGCTAGGCCGGCCAAACGGTAAGGTCTTGGGGATTTTCGGATGGCCACTTTTGGAAGGTCAATGGCTGGTAAATCAATAAAGGGATGTGATGGTTTATTCATGTTTATTGTAATGTGTACATATATATATAATATTCATGATATAATATTCTATATATATACCCAATGACGTGCTATAAATTGAGGTTTCCCTAAAAATAGGGGTACCCCAAATCATCCAAATCATCCAAATCATCCAAAGAACCATGACTTAGTATAGCTTAACAACGGTGACGGGGATCCCCCCAGTCGACTGAAGAGAAACCATCCAGGATAAACATCTGTGGTAAAGTCATGCAAGGTGGTGCCCCAGTTCGGAATTGCTAAGTTGGTTAACTCATGTTAATTCCAATTTCACTATGGTTTATGGTAGATATATATGATATATATATATATATATATATCCCAGATGCTCCATGTATGGAATATGTATCTATATACATGTGTGCAATTTTTGGAGTAAATGTAGGTAAATATTGCATACATGGAGCATCTGGGTATATATGATATATCTATATCTTACTATATGGTACCATGGTTTATAAACCACCGTGGTTTGATTTTTTTAATGCGCCATCCACAGGATCCCCGAACCGCGTTCCTGCCTTTGCAGGATGAGATCGAACGAATATGGCGTTCTCTGCAGAGGCAGCATGGGAACCTGGGAAGCCGTGGAATTCCCTGGTGATCTGCGAAAAATAGCTGGGATTTATGATGGATATAAATGATGTCATTGGATATATATATATATGATATATAAATGGATATTTATCAGATGTTCATCCCTCCAAAATGATGATACAAAAATGGATGTATGGCATTGAATGGTTGACTTAAAAAAATGCTTGAGCGAGCCATCCCCAAATGTTTTTCGAAAGGGTCGAGGACTCGAGGGTCACAGAAATGATCGGCCCTGGGCTGATGGATGCGAAGATTCCAGGTGGCATTGAAGGCAAAAAATAGACTTTTTCCTTCAACCAGTGTGGAGTTTTTCACTATTTTAGGGAATTTTTGGTAGATGTGAACAAACTAAGATGTGGATCATTCAGGGATACCCTTGGGTAAACGTTAACATCGATGTGGAGTTTAGCCACCATGAATGTAGATCACTTTCCGAACGGGAAGTCCTGCACTCATCATCCAAATCATATTGAAAAAAAGTCGGAGTTGTGTTTAACATTAACCCATATTAATAAGATGTTCATATATTTTATCATAGATATCATAGTTTATCTAAAACATGTTTAATCATATAAAATTAACATACACCATAATCTGGTTGGTGGTATACATACCCCTCTGAAAAATATGAAAGTCAGTTGGGATGATTATTCCCAACTGAATGGAAAAATAAAATTCCTGTTCCAAATCACCAACCAGTAATACATTTTGGTCATTTCAACCAAAGCAACCATCCATTTATCCATTGATCCATCCTATATTCGAAGCCACTGCAGCCAAGCGGCTCTGGCCAACGCTCACATTGGAGCGAAAAGCGGGACTCACCTGCCGACCCATCAAAGTCCAATATTGACCCATATCAACAGTTGGGTGTGGATATACCCATCAAAGTCTATCCAATTTCAACCAATATCATAATATTAATATTAATATTAATGTTAATGAGTTAATGTTAATTAATATATATATATATTAATATGAATGTTAAATAATATTAATATTAATGTTATATAATATTATATTATGGTTAATGTTAATGAAACAAAACTCAGAGTTGGCTCAAAGTTCAAACACGGAATCAACTCACCCGCCGTGCTCTGCAACTAGCCACACACCAAGCCAAGCCATCCAAGCCATGGCTGAACAACTCCCCATTGACTTGGATAATTTCCCATCAAAACATCTTAACTTCGGGGATTTCCCATCGAATTCCTCCATTTATACCCTAAACATCCCTAAACCTTATAGATGGTGTGACTGATGTTGCCATTTTCTTGCAGTCATTTACCAGCCATGGATTTCCCAGCTAGCCACTTGGACACTTGGATGTACATCCATATATGGCGGTTTCCATTCAAGGGGGGTACAAATGGATGGTTTATAATGGAAAATACCATTCAAAAGGATGAGAACTGGGGGGTACCCCTATTTCAGGAAACCACCACATTCCCATATATTCCATTAACTAAGTATGACCTTAACATATATTCCATCAATTTTAATCCCATATATTCCAATTTTCAGCCATAGCTCACCCATATGGCAGTGTGTCAAAACCATAGGTACCCCTGTAGTTCACATCAAAATAGCTGGTTTAGCTAGATGCTCATCCCCCTAAAAATGCTATGTATAGGCTGTATAGGTATTGATCCATAGCCATGTGATCATTAAATGATCATCAAATCCCTATCATCAGATCATCAAATCCTATGGTTCCTTTCAATCTATAAATTTTATAAATCATCAAATGATCATCAAATCCTATAGTTTACACTTCATATATCTTCATATTTAATGTTTATGTGATTTATATTTTCTGTATTTTCTTTACATCTATGGGATTATCATCAAATCCTATAGTTTACCATATATCTTCATATTCCATTCATCTGGGGGTATAACCGTATAACATCGTATAACCTCCCTACAGCTGCGCCTGCCCTCGCCGGGGCGACACGCCCAAGCGAGGCGAGCCATCCGGCACACGGATGGTGCGAACTGCGAGGTGATCGATTTAATCCATGAGGATTCACTGGGGAAATATAGGGAAGATCATTAACATCATGGCTATATTTTAGGAACATTTCTCATACATATCAGTTACATATCATACATTCTTTGATTCAGATTATTGTGATTTCATGTGATTTCTATATATTTCTATCATGGTAAACAACTGAAATGGAAATTTAGAAGAAAATCATGCGGGACTATCACTGGGATGAAGCAACGGAAACCTGGGATTTTAAAATTAAAACATCTTATAACCATCAAATGCCATAGGGAATATGGGGATATGATATCACCAATCCATGGATTGATTTAAGGCTTTTCCCAGCAAAAATGGGGGGCGGCTCCTGCAAATCTTCCCTTCAAGGATTGAAGCACTGTCTCCGTGAAACCGGTTATCAAATCCCCCAAAGCTTCTCGGAAAACCAGAAACGACCCAATGTCTGGTGCGGTTCCCCTCGGATGTTCAATTTGCAGAAACAAACATCGGTCAAAATGGTGTGAACCCCCTCAATTCCAATGGAGTATGGGATCGTAATTCTGCCGTTTGACTTTGGGAAGAAAACAATATCCGCCATATCTGATTCCATCAGTCATCATAATTCTACCACTGGGATAAACTCAGATAAACATGGATAAACCATGATAAATCTGAGCAAATTATAATAATTCACGAACCTGAAATAAGACGACCATATTGGATAATTCCCCGAATCCTAACCATTCTTCCAGGCAAGCCTGGAGAACGGGCTTCGGTCGTGATGAAATTTACCCCATTAAATCCATGCAATCTGTCTGCATCGCCTGAGCGAAACTCGGGGTGCATACTCTCTTGCGAGGCACTGGGAAGAGGCAGTGGAGGTACCGGTCCTTGGATCCCGTGGATTTCTTAAAAATTTCCCAATCAAAATGGCGTGGCTTCATCCGTGAGCCGACATGAAGAAGATCATCAATCATCAATCAACATGTCAAAACATTTAAAAAAAAAACATGGAAAAGACTGTTCATTCAAAATCTTCATGGAAATTATTGGAAGAAAAAAAGCGATAGGAACTGCTACTCTTTTCCCAACATCCTTGCTCTACCATGCGAAAACTCCCCAGCGCACCGAGCCTTCCGCCTCCGGCTTTCCTGCCAAGTGTCTCCCATCGATATTCACGGCATCCATATCGCAACCAAATCAATTTTTACCGTCTCCCAAAGAAAAAGCTAGCTTTTCTATGAAGATAATGTGTTATAATTTAAGTTTAAATAGAAACACATTGAACATCAATGAAAATTGATGTGAAATTACAATACCAACAAAATATAAACCATACCTCAAGGCATCGAAACACCCAGAAATCGACTGATCCAACGCCCGGGTTCCACCGTTCCACCGCCCGGCGCTTCGTCGCTGCAGCAAGGACTTCACGGTCTTCCCGGGCTCGGTGGAGGCGGGAGGCGCTTGGATCTTGCTGGTGGGAAGGAACTCCATGCGCTGATTCTCGCCTGGGTGGGGGTTGGGGGTTGGGGATTGATGATGATTGATGATAATTGGCTGGGAGGATCATGTGATAAGTAAGTCAGTTTCTCTGAGTTTTAAAGGAACAGTTATAAATGGGAGAAGCTACTGAATGGGAACTTACTAATCTTTCTTGTAACCAGGCTTATGAACCACCAAATGGGATGATCTTCCAGGTTGCGGTTGGAGATGATGACGATGATGATGAATAATTCTGGAGAGCCCAGAGACTGTCAAATGTGTTTATTTCAAAGTCTTGACAAACGAATTCCGAGCTGAAGTATCGCCGTATCGCCATGCTTTCGCCCATCATCTCCCAACTTTTGGAGGTGTCACCCCATCAACCAAGCCCTGACTGCGGGGGAAATGCCGAGCTGCATTTCAACTCGCCCAGAGGTGAGAAGTCCACAAGAACCAAGGGGTGCTGTGCACATAGCTCACCAAACCTATGGATGACCTCAGTCCATGATGGCCGGCCGGAGTCGTTGAAAGTGATGTACAAAAATCGACCGAATCTACTGACGTTTGTGAAAAATGTCGGTGTGAAGGATGATCCAAAAGCCCTGGCTTTTTTGGTGAAATCTTTCACCCTTTCGACCCATTTGAGATGTTATACTTCCATGATCTTCAATGGCAAATACGTCTCGTATATATGTGAATATAGATCCCATGGTGCCTGCAGTCCATCAGTCCCAGGCTTCCACAGCCCTTTCAGCCAGGACGCGGCTGTGATCACATTGGGAATAAGGGCTTTGTCCGAGACGTGCACTGCTACAGCAATCTCTCCGTACCTTGTAGGCAGAAAACAAAACCTCAAAAGGCTGGAAAATTCAGAATACCCAAACATCACCTAAATATCACCCAAACATCACCTAAACAGTAGTGTGTTTGTGTATATATATATATATATATCAATTATACATTATACATAATTATACATAATTATATAAATAGGCCTTAACCAGAAGTTCACTACGTCATTTCGCAACTGCTGTGGTAAGCTGCTTCCAACCACGTCCAAGTCACGCAGCTTTGGTGCTGGGACCAGGTTGACCCTGATCACCGGGCTTCATCGAAATGCCATACCTGCGAAGCCAAAAGCAGTGGTGAAACAAGCCTTCGCGATCAGAGTGGTTTAAGCATCTTGAAGTTACACTAATATTCTCATATATATATATATATGCATATCAGCATATCATATATCTCTATATGGAATAGATAAGCATGACAACATCATCAATCTGGACAGATGATTGCAACATTCAAAAATTTTGCCACCAAAGATCTGCAGCAGAAAGAGCTCTGAAACGGCCAGCTGCGGCTCCATGTCTTTTCCGGCATTGAACAGCACACCTGTCGGCCAGGACGGGGGTAGATCACTTGGCGGTAAACCCTGGCTGCCATAAAGCTACCATGACTGGGGATGGTAGACATACCACCCTAAAAATGCTGCTTTGGGTGATGGTTTATTTGTGGTTTCCATGATTTATCATGGCCATTTTGGGGCATCCCCATTTTCTGGTTAAAAAAAAAAAGTTGGGACATCTCTTCACTATCCATCTGGATAAATAAACTAAACAACTCGTTCACCTGGGAAGTTTGGCCAGTTAGGGCTTAGATGGGTTTAGTTACCTACTACGAACCAGTACCAGTAGTATACAGCGTCGTCGCGACGTGAGGTCGTCATCAAATTTATCAAGATAAATCCAACAAGAATATATGATCATGAAGTATGAGGGAACTAATTACTTTGAAATTGGATCCAAGTACCTTGAATGTTACATACATCATATATATCCAATTGATCAATTACATCCCCAAAAAACGTGTTGCTGGTGCAACCCTGGCTAAACCCATGGGTTTTCCACGGCTTTCCCGGTAGGGTCTTTTCCACGGCTGGGCCGGGCCCCAGGGCCCCATCCCCGAGCTCCGCCTAGTGGCATCAGCGACATCGACTTGCCTACTTTGAGGCCTCAAATCTCATGGAAATCAACGACAGAACTGGTTGATAATCATCAATAATCCCAATAGTTGAGATTATTATTAAACTCCCAATCAATTATCCCAATAATAATTATTGATAATACTATTATTATATAATCCCAATAATAATTGGGATAATCAATAATAGTGATATTAATATGGTTATATGATAATAGTGATTAATCATATGATTAATAGTATATTATGAAACCATATTATCCCAATAATAGTGATTAATAATATGGTATAATCATCAATAGTCAATAATGGGATAATGAATAATCCTCAATACCAATAATCATTGGGATAATCATCAATGGGATTATATAAAAATAGTGGTTATAATACTAATATACAGTATACTAATAATAGTGATTATATGATTATATATGGTTATATGATGGGATTATATATAGATAATATAACATAATTAACATAGCTGGTTGGTGGTTTTGAGCCCTACCCCTCTGAAAAATGATGGACGAATCGTCAGTTGGGATGATGAACTTCCCAACTGTTTCTGGAAAGTCATAATCCATTCATGTTTCAAACCACCAACCAGAGAATCTATACACTGGCTTTTAGGGATCTCATGTTTTTCTTCCATGAAACAAATTCTCGAAGCAACAGCATCACTGAAAGGAATTGGCTTGGAAAGTTCAAGGCATCCACGTCTAGCACATGCAACACATCCTGAAGTGTTCATTTGATTATCTTTGGTTGGGAAACGGTCAACCACTGAGAGTATTGTTTCAAACCACGGATTGTCCTGCTTACGAATTCTACTGTTTACGTGAAATCCTAGTGAGATCCTAGTGAAATATAGTGAAATAATGTGAAATATAGTGACATATCTACTGGTTACTTAATAATATACTATGTTTTACATATACATGATACAATCATATCATATAGTGAAAAGAAAGACCCTAATTCCATCGAGTCTGGGATAACAGAATTTTGACAACTTTTTTTGCCGAGAGACTGTGAGCCGACTGTGCTGCCAAGGCATTCCAGATATTTACAATCAATTCCTTGGACGTAGATCTGCCATGGTTTGATGTACACTGTTTCATGTCTGAAAATAAGGATTTACTTTCTAAAAATAGCAGTGTTTTAATGGGGAAATTAATGGGGAAATCATCATCCAGTGGATGGATTGAGGTACCCGCTAATAACAATTCCTTGGATCATCTATGGATCTATCATGCATAGTATATTCATATATTATTCATGTATATTCATGTATATTCTATAGCTATTGCACCTCCGGCAACAAAAAAAATGTGTTCACCTAAAGTCATTGGGAAGTTCCATCATCCATAGCTAAATCCATAGCTAAATCAATGGGTTGCCCGTTTGGAAATGATGACGGTGAAGATCCTGATTTGTCAGGTCCAACTGGGCCAAGGCGGCCAAGGTTCAATCGCCTCCTCCTCATTTTCCGGAGGCACAATTGAGCGCACGGACTTGATACAGTCCCCTGGACAGGTTGAAGGTTATAGTTCACCCCAGCTATAACTTACTTCTTTCAATACTTGATTCATCTTCATTCTTATTGAACTCGAATCTAGCTTTGAACTGCCCACAGAAGCAAACAAAAAAGGCCTCTCAAAACTGGAGCTCGTTGCCACGCTGCCACGTGCCTGCGATCTTTTGCAAAGTTATGGTCGGGCTGCTTGCCATGGTTCCTCCGCAAATCCGCAAACCCCCAGGATGCCATGGTGGTTCTCACCCCAGCTGGCTATGTGTTTTTTCTTCAGGGGTCCCCCAAGATAGAAACGTCAACTCCTATGAAAATAGTGGCAAATCAGGCAAATCACTCTACTTTTTGGGGTTGCCATGATGTGTGATTTTGAAAGATGGTGCAACTTCGATATCTCGCGATTCCGCCGTCGCTCCTCAGTATCTCCGCGCCCTTGCGGCCGCGCCGGTCTTCAGCGCAGCATCGCCATTGGTGCGGCTCGGGGCTCGTTGATGGTGCAATAGGACGATTTTGTTCCGGGCTCATTCTGTCGGGTTTGGCTTCGTTGTCCTTAAGTGAGTCTGGCACTGATATCCAGCGCTGACGGAAAGCAACTCGTGGAAAGTGGGCATTGAATAGATGAAGTTTGGCCTTTTCAAAGGAATTGAGTGCTTGGCCGGTTGGCCACTGTTGGTTTGTTCATGTTTGAGACTTTATAGCTAAGGTCATTGAAGAGCCGGTCAGCAAGCGAACGGATCAACTCATAAAAATCATGTAGCAGGAGATTAGCCCTGACCCTCCACCAGTCAACTAAATGTTGGAGCTCATGAGTCATCAAGCGGCCAAATACAGTTTCGCAGGAGTCATGTTGCCCTTTTTCCAGGCAAATCAAGGTCCTTTTCCTTCGCCAATCGGCTCAGGCTTCAAGTGATATGCTGCTCCCATCAAGGCACCCTGCTAAGGGTCTGCCAGCCGTGGACGCGTGCGGAAGGCCCACCAATGGAATGCGAATGAATGCGATGGAGGCATTCCAGAGTTTCATTCGTGACGGTTGGGCTTCTCAAACAGTTTCTCTGAAACAAACGCAGGGAAAATGTGCAATTAATGAGTATAGTTTAAAAAATTGTTGACATAATTTGAAATAAATTGCATTAATAGTAGTTGAAATAAAGCGCATTATTAAGTAGCCTCCCGCAAAACTTGTCACACTGCCAGCACCCAACGGAGATCATTCTCCAAGCAAAGATGTCAGGATGTGTTGGCAGTTCATCTGCAGCCGGTCGGAAGATGGAAACACCTTGGAAAAGGTTGCATCGGCTCAGACAACTTACTGCTTAGTAGGGTTGCTGGATGGGTTGCTGGGGTTGATGGGATGATGAAATTGACAGTTAGCCAGTGGATCATTCCCTCAAATTCCCTACGTTTAGCACCAGTGAGCCAAGGGGATGAAGGGGATGAAGGGGATGAAGGGGATGAAGGGGATGAAGGGGATGAAGGGGATGAAGGGGATGAAGGGGATGTTTTCCCCTAAATCACACCCTTTCCCACCAATGGATGGCAACACACAAGTGATCGTAAAAAAATGTTCCGGATGCCACCATCGATAGGTAGATAATGGTAGATAAATCTTCCATGATTCCAAAAAACATGTGCTTTGATTCTTGTCCTATCCACAATGTAGTCCTCTCAGAGTCCTCGCACCCAAGCAAAAATGTGGCTCTCTTCAAGATATAAGATGAACATAATTCAATAATAATAATAATAATAATAATATGTCTTCAAGATCCCAATTTAATTGAATAGTATTATTGACATTTATTGAAGATATGCAGTTACGCCAAAACAGTCCCTTCTCAAAAACCCATGCCTCGCCATTCTCCGTGCCTGCATGATCTTCATCATGGTATTGACGGCCTCTTCGGAAGACACCGGCGAGGCATTCATGTCATCGGCCTCGGTGTGATCCCGGAAGCTGAAAATCACAAGTTCCAGTTGTCTGAGGATGTTTATAAATATACATAAATATACTATAAAAGGTGGTAAATAATGGTTATTGATAATGGTTAATAATTGTTAATATAGTTCGATGTTGAAAAAGATGTATGATTCCTGTCTGATCCAGTGGCAGCTCTTGGCGCTATATATCCCCAACATCTTTTAGGAATCGAACGTGGCTGGGAAATTCTCAAAAATATTCAAACAAGTGAAATTTGATGAAATGTGAATGGGAAAATCATCGATCTACCAGTAAGCCATCTCTGATGACAAACAAATTACTAAGGGTGTCACGGTTACATCTTCCAGTGGGGGTAGGTCGTCAGTATTCTCGGCCTCAAAGCTGCCAAGAGCGGCCAGTGCTGGAGCCTTTGAAGAGAAGACAAGGGTGTCTTCACGCATCCAGATGGGAAAAATGTCTTCTTGAAATCTTGAAATATATCGTGTGTTTTTGTGATGTCTGGGTCAGAAAAAAAGACTCCAAGTCTTGGATTCTTAGATATCCCTAATCAACTGACCCAAAGAAAATCTAAGTTTTGCTGGCACATATCGTACAGCTACGGCCGCTACGGCAGTGTCAGCTGGCCCGTCAACTTTGCGCCCTTTGCCTTGGCTGGGGATGTAATTCCAGTGGGGGAATAACTACATTATATTAAATCAGTATTGATTCAATGGTTAGTATATAGTTTGCGTATACGCAATACGTATTCGTATAATGAGTCTGATCAAACATCTGGTGAACCCCTATTTCGAAAAACAACGAAAAGGCCTTGTCCATATAATCCCAATGGGCAGTGACGCTGTGACAATCAGCAGAAAATTGGCTCTTTTTTGGACGTGTCATGGGCTTGGCAAGTCTGGAAGACATGCTTCCGCACATTTCCGTATAAAGCTAACTCGGTTTTTTTAGCTCTTGGATCCCATGGATCCCAGTTACTTGTATGGTGAAGAATCCTCATTCAGATGCACAAAAAAACACTAATCCTTGGGCTTCGGCCGCCCAAACTTCTGGCCAAAGACTGTTGCACCATGGGCGGCCGAGGATCTATCCTGGCACGGCTTTTGTCAAAGGCAGGACCTAAAAAACTACGAGTTGTGCACTTCCAGTTATCAGTGGATACGTATAGTTGTAGGGGTTATGTAGGGGTTATGTAGGGGTTATGTAGGGGTTATATCCCAACTTGTGGCCTTGATAACCATAGTTATACATAGTTATGCATAGTTATACCCATTTGTAACCTTAACTGCACCCCCAAGTCTTGATGATTTCCTGTATGAAATTGGAACATATGCATGAAAGTTTATTTGGAGTTTATTTGGACCGCACATTCAGGCGCCCGATATCTTTGGATATCTTGGACATTCCGCGGGCGGTCCATCGATCATGATGCGGCCCCACCAGTCTTGCCCACAGTCTTTTCAAATGATCATCGCTGCAATTACCACCAGGATGATTCACGAGAGTCACTTCTATGGAGAATTTCTGGTGTGATGGGCTAATTACATGGTCTAATTGATATTCCAAACATTAAATGGAAAAAAAAAAAACTGCTTTATGGCCTTTATGGTTAGCGACAAAAAACCCTCAGATGTTTCCCTAGCCTTTTAAATTGACATTTACATTATCTGTTATATTGATATGTATACATGTGTGATCATGTGTGTATATATATATGTATATACACATAGAGGTGTCCTAAGTCATGGGGGTACCCCCAAATCATTCAAGTTATGGCTGACCATGACTTAGCATTGAAACTGGCGCATGGACAGGATTGGGAAACCCCCCAAACCAAGTCATGGCAGGCTGATCTGTGTTAAACATGTCGAGAGCTCAGCATCAGGTGCAGAACGGAAGCCATACAACTCGAAGCGATCTGCACAAAGAATGCATGGACGATCATGGACGATCATGGACGTTGTCGTTAGAAATGGAAAGGTGAAGGAATCACAACGACCATTCACTTCATCTACTTGTAGTCGAACAAATGTGGTCCTCGGGTGTATGATCAAATGGAAAGCTAGTGAGAATAGACCTAACCCAACAAGCTAGAAGGAACAATAAACCAATCATAACGAATCAACCATGGGCATAGCGAACCATGAAAATGTCTGGATGCAGAGACACAACCCATGGGAATATAAGCTTACCATCGAATTTCTGGATGTAAACCAACAAGAACTCCCAACGAGGAAAAGCGCCACGGTGCTGGAGGGATGACTGGGGTATGCTCCATGTCAGCATGTTCAAAGCATCGAACTTAAACCTGCTTACCCTCTGGTAAACGTTTACATAACAATGGAAAATCACCATTTTATAGCTGGGAAAATCAACGAACTTTCTATGGCCATGGCTTCAATAGCAAACTGTTAGTCATTACCAGAGGGTAAACAACTTCAGGATCAAAAATGGTCATCCGATCCTTGTTTCAGGTTGAAAAGTTGGGATGCCCATTGCGGTCATCCGTCGCTTAATCCGGTTCTGGCCACTGGAGAGCACAGCAATTCCCATCTACATTACATGAGTAAGCATATCAAGTGTCATGCCCTCTGGTTATTTTATGTAGCAAACTGTAAATCACCATTTTGAATAGGGGATCCATCATATCATCTACAAATGGGCCATGTTCCATAGCTATGTTTAATAACCAGAGGTTATCAGTTGCAAAGAAAATACCTCATAATATCGATTGCCACATCAATTGCCAATTACATTGCATATCAATTGCCACCTATTTGCCAAATTTGTCCAATATCATCCATCTACCCTCCTGTAAACTGACGTGGGAAACCCACCATTTAAAGATCATGTTCCTAGGCTTTCCCGGGTGTTCTACATCCATGTTTGTTCATCGGCTAACCCATGGTTCCAATGTGCTAAACCCAATTAGTCATAAAACATCTCCCAACATTTCCATGTTTGATAGGTAATTCATCATGTTTATCATCTATGTCTATGTGCCATCGAACTACCCGTAGCAAACTGTAAATCACTAGAGGGTATGCAAAAAAAATGTAAAACTCACCATTTTTACGGGTACTATACAGCAACAACTTAACAAACATAGACCCTGCCAGATAGGGGTTGGAAGATGAGTTTCCACTCGAAATTGGATTTTCAGGGTCAAACTGCTAATTTACCAGAAGGTATATGATTTTATACACTGTTTAATAGCTCATTCATCATAAATGGGCCATTTTCGATGTTAAAAAATCTAATAGTATT